TTTTGGTACCGAGGATCGAACTCAGGACTTGGCGCTTGCGAGGCAGGCAGCGGTGGAACCACGGAGCTAAATCCCTGGCCCAAAACTTATTTATTTTTAATATATGACTCGGGGGTGGATTTGTCCAGGCACACAACATACTCAACGATCTCCCATTTCCTCTCCGCCCCTTGTACATTTTGGGGGCTTCGGTGTATCCAGTGCATTGTGATCAATGCGTTTCCCTCTGCCCCACCTCCGGTCCTCTAGTCCCCTTCTCTGGTCCAAGTGTAGTCTTCCTTCCACATCTCTGGGTGCTTTTGATTTGTTTTCTGGCTTCTTAGTTTTGTCTTCCTTTGTAGTCCTGAGCGTCTGGTGCTCTCAAGCCTGCTGTCAGTCTCGGGGTGCCGAGGTTCATCCACCCCAGCATTTCATAACCTCTCAGCGGGTCAGAGAAGCCGAACACTGGTGTCAGAGTTCCCTGGTTGCAGGTCAAATAAAGGACAGCTTAGAGTTTCACCCTCAGATGCATAATCAAGGAATCTTTGACATTTGAATCAGGCACAGTAAGAAGAGGTCCTAGATGTCTGTCCTCAGGCTGCAGAGAGAAGGGCTTGGGGCCTGGGCAAGGAACGAAGAGGCCTGCCTGAAGGTGGAGGTGAGTTGTAGGCTCCCGAGAGATGAACAGGGAGCCGGCAGCTGGGCCGGAAGAGGCCCGGGAAGGCAGAGCGCACATTCTGCCCCATCGCTGTGTGTGGGGTGGCAGCTGGGTGTCCTGGGGTGATTGGATTAGAAGAGACCTTGTGTGCTCACAGCGTCTCCCATTTTGCTTCCTGGTGAATTTGGGAATTCACAGATGCCGCACCCCACGCAGGCTCAGGAACCTACTCCGGATGGGGCTGTTTGTAACCAACCTGCCCTGGACGCAGGCAGCTGCGTGAGCTATGACTTTGCCCAGAGAGCAAACGCAGCTCCCTAAGGCTTGTCGAGGGTGACTGTGACCAAGGGGGGGCAGACTACCAAGGGCAACTCAGTCACTCACCAACAGAGCAGGGGACAAACTGACAGTGAGTAACACCAGACAGTAGTGGGAGTCACGCTGACAGGATGCAGCGAGATCGTGCCCGGTTCAGAACAGAGACACTCCGAAGTACAGGAGGAGATAGGGAAGGGGTCATGCAGGAGGGGCAGCGAAGGACACAGGCACAGCCCTGCCTGCGGGGACCACAAGGAGAAGGTGAGACAACAAGCAAGCCCTGAGAACAGAGCGCCTAGGGTGCTGCTCGTTTCAGCTTCTAGCTGCCTTCGATGGCCATCATCATTATTCAGAGCATGGGGGACCGAGTCCAAGCCCTTGTACTGAGTTACATTCCTGGTCCTTTTTTATTTTTTATTTTAGTTTTGAGACAAGGTCTCACTAAATCATTAAGCTGCCCGAGCTGGGCCAGAGTTGCCACCCTCCCGCCTCAGCCTCCCAGTGTGATGGGGCTGCCGGTGAGCAGCGCCCCACACTCACCGAGTGTTTCTGTATGGAGCTCCCCAGAGTGGACGTGACTTGGAATTTCCCGGGTGGATGTTGGGATGAATCGAAGGTCCACCTTTAAGGGAGTTGCTCCCCCTAGCTCTCCTTCTCCTCCTAGATCTCCACTTCCGCCTTCTCCCCTTTGCCCTGTGGCAGCTCGGTTGACCAGCTGGCCGGGGTCAGCAGAGGAACGTGGCTGGGGCGCTGGGGCCGACACTGTCTCCCTCACGAGCTGCTGTGGGCTGTGTGTGTCCAGCAGCCCTGTGCTCGCGCTCCACTGGGTCTGTTTGCTTTGGTTCTGCCCATCTGAGCCCGTCGGGCTGGCGTTGGTGACGCTGGCACGAGGCTGGGCTCAGGCTGGATGGTGTGGGCGGGCGGCCGGCGTCGCTGGCACTGTCCTCGTCCAGCCTCTTGTTTCTTCTTGATTTAAAAAGTAAATGCATGTGTGGTGGCGCACGCCTGTAATCCCAGCACTCAGGAGGCTGAGGCAGGAGGATCGCTGTGAGTTCGAGACCAGCCTGGGCTACACAGTGAGTTCCAGGTCAGTCTCAACTACAGTGAGACCCTGTCTCAAAAAACCAAAACCAAACAAACAAACAAAACTAAAAAGTAACGCATGCGAGCTCTAAAAAGGGAAATAATTCATAAGTATGGAAATAAAATCACTAAGTCACATGTACCGTCTACTCTGCTGTGCACCCAGCGTGTATTCTGTGACGTGTTTTATACACACATTCCTGTGAGGGGCTCAGCACGCAAAGGGCCAGACTGCTCCCTGCGAGTTCCCAGCCTGTCAGAAACTTCTAGCTAGCTGCAGGACGATGATGAGTCTCTTGCATCCTCTTCAGTGATTTCCTTCCAGTGTACTTCTAGGGGACGGTTTTTAAAGGAGAAAGATGAAAAAAGCTTATTCGCATCTTCACTTCCAAAAAGTTCCGCTCACTGCGCGCGTCCCCAGTCCGCCCCGCCGCTCTTCCTCTCCCTCTCCCTCGCCAGCTCCGGCTCTATTTTATTTCTGTCTTTAGTCTTACTGCTCTCTTTATTTCCTTTTAAACGCAAAATCTGATCTAGGATATTTATCACTGTAACACTGTTATGTCCTTTTGCTTTTTTTTGGTACCGGGGATTGAACTCGAGTCCTTGCGCTTGCCAGGCAGGCGGCGGAACCACTGAGCTAAATCCCCGGCCCTATCCTTTGTTCTTAATAAAAGTTATATTCTTTATAAACACACAATCTAATATATAATATTTAATACCATAGCCCTGTTGTTCTTTGTGCTTAATAAAAATTATTTATATTATTTCGATTCAGCTCATTCTTTTAAAGCAGAGAACAGTGTTCTCCTCCTCCTCCCCCTCTCTCCCTCTCCCTCCTCTCTCTCTGTCTGTCTGTCTCAGACTGAAGCACTTGGTTGTCTTTCGGAGTCTCTCTCCTACCTCACACATAACACAGTGAATAATGAACACTTTTGGTACGCATATCTTGGGGAACTTTTGCAGATACATGTGAAAGACAGATTCCTAGTGATGGGATTTCTGGGAAAAGACAAAAGGCATTTAACAGTGTTGATAGAGATGTCTAAATTGTGCTATGTTTAATCCTAAAATTCGCATTCTTAGAAGCAGGCATGACATCGTTTACATGCTGAATTCATCAGAAATGATTGTATAGGGCCAGGGATTTGGCTCAGTGGTTCTGCTGCCTGCCTCATAAATGCAAGGTCCTCAGTTTGATCCCTGGTACCACAAAAACAAAACAATACAAAACAAATAAATAAATAAAATAAAGAAAGAAAAAAAAGAAATGATTGTATAAATTGGCATGAAGATCCAGTTTAAATTTTTTCCACTAACTACTTAATGATTATCGCTTCTCGGCCTTTTGGCTAAGATCAAGTGTACTTAATGATTAATTCTTCTGTCTCTGATTTGAATGCCAATTTTACTATAAAATGAATTCTCATCTATTTGGCTCCATTTCTGAATGAATCCACAGCATGAATGTACTATTTTCTAGTACCAAGCTATTTGAATTATTTGACTTCAGAATCTACTTCCTGTCCAGTTACCAAATTACTTTTCCTCTTTAGTATCTTTTATTATCATTTATTTCTTTTTAAATATACTTTCTATATTCTTTCACATTTCAAGGACTCTAGATGTTTTTATGGTGATCGCCTTGTGTCTTTAGTTGTATCCAGGACAAATTAATATATTTCTAATTCATTAAGATATCTTGTAGTAGTTAAGATGCTACTTAAATACTTTCAAATTTAAGTAGATCTTTTGAAATGCCTTTTTGTAGAGTTTTAATACCCTTTTCCTACAGGTTTTACAATATATTACTAAATTTATGCCCAACTACTTTATCTTTTAGGTACTGTTATGAATGAGACTTTAATTTAATTTTACTTTTTAATGAGGATTTATTTATTATTTTATTTTATTTTTTTTGAGGTACTGGGGATCAAACTCAGGACCTTGCACTTGCAAGGCAGGCATGCTGCCACTGAGCTAAATCCCCGGTCTTCTCATTTAATTTTAAAAGTTATATCGCCTGTATATTCCAGATTGGTGGAATTGTCATCTCTCTGAATTCCTTCCTTTTCAAAATTTAGTTGATTCTTGAGATTTCTATGACATGAAAATGAGGATAGAGAGTTTTTTTTTTTTTTTTTTTTTTTTTTTTTTTTTGGTACCAGGGATCGAACTCCGGTCCTTGTGCTTGCAAGGCAGGCGACAGAACCACTGAGCTAAATCCCCAGCCTGAGAGGGTTTGTTTTTGACCAGCTGAGATCGTACATCACTAGCTGCGGGGGAGGTTTCGAGGTTAGGAGCGGTCATACGTCTTCTCCTCCAATTACATATGTTCATACTGTCTTCATAACACTTGGGCTTGGTTTGCCTTATAAAAGGCTAAGGATTATTAAATGGAGAAATAAACTCATTTCCACAGGGACCGTCATCACAGGTTTGCAGTGATAATAATAAAATAATAAATAGCAACGTGACTGATAGCATTTGTTGCTCTTTCTCTAGATGTTTGGTACCTTGTGAGGTCTTCTGTTTTTTATTTTTTATTTTTGGTACCAAGGATCGAACGCAGGACATTGTGCTTTCGAGGCAGGCAGCGGAACTGAGCTAAATCCCCGGCCCACCGTGAGGTATTTTTAAAGGGGTTGTTTTGTTAAATTCTCATTTGAACCTGGAGTCACTTTCATTTGTAGTTTACTTTCTGATCTTTGAGACAGAACATCTCTGCGTAGCCCAGGCTGGCCTCGGGCTCCTGAGTGCTGCGATCACAGGCGTGCGTGGCCACATGCCTGGCTCCTAGCGTTGCTTCCATGAACCCCACTTTGTAGAGGAGGAAACTGTGGCACAGGCGAGTTCAGCCCCCTTCCTGGAGTGCAGGGCAAGCAGGCGACTGAAGCCCGCCCACCGGCCTCTCCGCAGTGACCTAACGCAGTGCCCAGCGTTGCCTCTGCCCTTTGTCTTGCAGTCTTATCAGACTCCCCCTGGACCAACATCTCGGGGTCTTGCAAGGGCAGGTGCTTTGAACTCGAAGAGGTCGGCCCCCCGGACTGTCGCTGCGACAACCTGTGCAAGAGCTACAGCAGCTGCTGCCACGACTTCGACGAGCTCTGCCTGAAGACCGGTAGGTGGCCTGGGCGCTCTCTGCAGCCTCGGGCGGGCGGGTGGCTGGGAGACCCCTGGAGCCGCCCCTTGGCCGTTCCGGGTGTGCATCCGGGGTTTGCTGCATGCCCGGCCAGCTCCCCCTCCGTGCAGATGTCCTTCGGCCGGCGACCTGGCTCCTCCGTCCGGGCTCAAGACACTTCTGTGCCGGGCTTTGCTCCCTGTCACCTTTTCTGTCTCCTCCGCCACCTCCCACATTCACTGCCGGGGCCCGCGGGCTAAGCTTGTGCTGAGTGTCACTTTAGCGTTTATCAGTAGGAAATAATACTTTTCTTAGTGCGCACACGCGGTCCGTGAGGGTCCCTTTCATCCGTGCGAGCTGGTGCATGGACCGCCCGTCTTCATTCTCTCTGCGCCCCTCCGGCCCTCTGGTTTCCTCCCATTTGCCCGCCCAGTGCCTGGCGATCCTGTCGTCTCCTTGCTGCACCAGCTGTCGTCTTCCGTGATGCAAGTGGGAGCTCGTATGGGATTTTCTTGGTGTCTTCTACTCTGTGGAGCTCTGAACGTTTCCTCTGAGGTTTTCCTTATTTTCCTTCCGCGTTTCCTCCCGGAGAGCAGTTGATATTAAAACCAGGTTGTGGAACGAATGCACACGATGTGAGAAAGAGCCCCTTGGGGGATTTTGCCATCTTCTCACTGCTTTCAAAGCCAAACGTTTCGCAAAAGGCTTTGGAGAGGCCACGGAGGGCGCCTGCGGCCCTTCTGGGCACAGCCCCTCCCGAACGGCCCCAGGAAGGCAGTGCTGAGTCCTCCCTGTAACAGCACCGGAAGTGGATCGCACAGCGCTCTGGACAAGTCATCACTTACCTTTGGGCTTTTATGTGGCAACGATTCTTCTCAGAGCCTATCTCGTATTATCATTGCTATTATTAGTCTGATCTTTTGAATGACATAATTAGAAAGAGACATTCTTCTCTTTTATGGGAGACCACTTTTGTGGCATGAAAATGGACATGGACTGACTCCCTTTCTAATTCTTATTCGTTTCCCCCCTCCTGCTAAATAAGAAGCCGCTTAAATAGGCTGTTTTCTGCGGAATCCATTCCGCTTTCTGCTGTTGTTGCTGTCACTGTTCTTTAGAACTTCTCCCAGTTCCTTGGCTGCCGGTCTGCCACTCCCGTAAACAGATGTTCCTGCAGAGGCTTTGGCTGAAAGGCTCGTGTTTTGCAGCTTTAACGTTACTATAGCGCAGCGGCCTGTGTGTGCTTGGCACTGAGTATTTGCGGGTGTTTCACGCTCCCTGCCTACCCTGCTTGTCTCGTCCCCGGCACGTAACCCCAGCCTGTTCCTTGCCAAGATTAACACATGCCCTGTCTCCACTTAGCTCTCTCTGGATGGAGCTCATGCCTCCCTGCCTTGGTCTAGTAAAGATGGGTCAGTAATTACATTTTATAAGGTAGTGCGTTCTCCTGTGTACGCTGAAAGTGGAAAGATCAAACAGCAAGTAAGAGGAAGAAGCTGGTGTCTGAGGTTGGGCCAATCTGACCCCAGTGCTGTCTAGAAACAAGCCAAGTGCTTTACACAAACAAAGCCTGCTGTTCTCTGTGTGTGCTGCGCATGCGTGCATGTGTATTTACGAAAGTGTGTGCACGCGCATGTGTGCGAGTTTCTACATCTGTAAACCTTTATAAGCATGGCACACTGCATGCTTTTCGGTTTTGGTACTGGAGAGTAAACCCAAGCTCTCTCTTGTGCTAGGCAAAGTCCCCCCAGCTTCACCCCAGCCCTCTTCTGTATTTTGTTTTGACACTGGGTCTTGCTAAGTTTCCCAAGATGCCTTTGAACTTGCAAGCAGCTTCAGCCTCAAATCGACCTTTTGAGTGGATACCTAGCATCACATTGAGGGGTTGAAGTTCTCTGAGTAATTAATTGACATTAGATCTCCTGAGTTTTATGACTAGGAATGTTTCAGGAAGTGCACTATTCGTGTACATTCATATTTTTGTTTATTTTCCTTCAGATAAAGTCCTAGCAGTGGGATTTCTGGATCAACGTGTATATATACATTTTAAAAATTTAAGAGTTTATCATAAAAATGTATTTCTGAATGCTTACATTTCTATCAAAGGGCACAAGAGCATTTCACTACTGCTTTTCACCATTGGATACTCTCTCTCTCTCTCTCTCTCCCTCTCTCTCTCCCACCCTCTCCCTCCCTCTCCCTCTCTCCCTCTCCCTCTCTCTCTCTGTCTCTCTCTCTCTCTCTCTAGGAGATGGAACTCAGGGCCTTCTCCATGTTTGGCAACCAGCCTACCACTGAACTATGTCCCAACCCAAATACCCTCATCTTTAACCCTCATCTTTAAAGAAATTTTTGTCTGAATGAGAGGTAATCTTATTTTCCAACGAGGCTATGTATTTTAATTTTACTTCCGATATTTAATTTGAAAATGCCACAGCTGACTCTTATTTTGCCTGTAGTTCACTTTGAACCCTAATTCTCCACTTTACTCTATTCTTATACCCAGTTAGCAGCTCCTCAATAATGCTGAACAACAAAAACATTTTTTTTTGGGTAAGGAAAACCGTTTTCTTGTGGAACGACCGGAGGAATAAAAGTGTGTTCGTGAGTGGACGTGTCTCTGATTTGAGGGACAGAAAGCCCACAGTTTCTGTCAGCCAAAGCAACCTCGGGGCCTTGCTGACCTTGAGATTCCAGCCCCTTGGTCTGCTTGGGAAGAGACATGGAGAAACATGATAGTTAGGAATCAGAAAATAAAATGAGGTTGCAGAAGTAGTTCTGAAAGAATAGAAATTGAAGTGTCGTTGCCTGGGTTTCTGGCTGATAGTCTGCCCGAAGGGGCAGGGGCAGGCTGTGCACACAGAGGCTAATTTCTCTTTACCCATGATTCGCCTAGCAACAGGAGGGTATGGCTGTCAGAAACCAGCGCTTTCCACTTTAACACAAAGATGCTATCATTTATTTGTTTGTTTATTTCAGACGGGCTCTTTCTATGTAGTCTCAGCTGGCCTCAGACTCACTGTATAGCCCAGGCTGGCTTGAACTCATGGCAGTTCTCCTGCGTCAGCCTCCCAGCACTGGGTTGGCAGGGGTGCGCCATCACGGTCACCTCGAGGGTGCTTTTCCTGACCGTCCTACCTCCTTAGCCCCCAGTCCACCGGGCACTCTACCAGTGTCCCCTGTGACGTCCTTGGCAGTGCCCGCGCAGGCCCCTGAGTGGTTCCCCTGCTCATTTCCAGCCCATTTCCTAAACAGTGGAGGCAAAGCAGTGAGAAGGGGCGCCCCCCCCCAGCTTCTGGCCAAAGAAAAAGTCCAACAGACAGGAGAGGGCACTCTGCTTAAACCGAAAAGACCCCTTTCCGATGTCCTTCCGGTCAAGTGGGGCTGGAGTCTGCACCCCGCAGGGCTCGGGGGCCTCTCAGGGGTCAGGGCTGTTTGTGCTGCTGCGCCCCTTTGCGACTTCAGGCCCTTGGGGATCTGACCTCAGAAGGCTCCACAGCGGGCAGAGGCCGCAGTGTCTGTGTGTGCTGCTGGAAGTTACGTGAAGCTACTCCCCAAAACAATCACGCAGGCTCCAGGGGCTGTCCCCCAAGGACAGACACCTCCGGTCCGACACTGTACCGAGGGTGGTGGCGGGAGGTGGCTAGGACGGCCTGGCGGGGAAGCCCTGCTTTCCTTTTCTGATTCCAGTTTGCTCAGAGAGCTCAGTGGGGCTTGGAGCTTGTCCCCTAGTTTGAAAAGATCAGAAGCTCAGGCTGTCTGTAAGTCCCGCAGAGGTCTTCGCGGGCTGCCCTGGATCCCACCGCAGAACCGGAGTGCGGCCTGCGGCTCTCGGTCAGTCGGGAAGCCGGGGAGCCCGCGGGACCCCTTCCCGGCCCGGACCGACGTGCGCTGTGGTGGCGATTGCAGCTCGAGGCTGGGAGTGCACCAAGGACAGATGCGGAGAGGCCCGCAATGAGGAGCACGCCTGCCACTGCTCGGAGGACTGCCTGGCCCGGGGAGACTGCTGCACCAACTACCAGGTGGTCTGCAAAGGTAGGGCTGGGCGTGGCTGGCGTCACAAGGTGTCCTGGCGGCTACCCACGGACTACCCCGAGGGTGGGGGGGAGTTGTGCTCTGTAATTTCCCGCGCTTCTCCTTTGCTGTCTTTTCCTTTCCGCTGATCTGAAATAACCAGGGAATGAAGCAGAACGTTCTACTTAGGTGGAGCCATGGTAAGGAAGAGGCCTCTGCCCTCTGTCTCGGTTCTAGGTCAGGGGTTCCGTCTCGGAAGTGGAACCTGACATAGGAATCTGTGCACCAGGCTTCCGAGGGGGCGCCAGAGGCAGGAGAGGGTTGCAGCAGGGGCGTCAAGGAAGGAAATGGTCTGAGGGCCGGTTCACCATGGCCTGTACTATGGTGGCCAGAAAAGTAAATCTCAGCGTTATTCCTTTCGGGGAAAGGGCATGAATTTTGTGCCCAGTGGAGGAGGGCAGTGTTCCGAGATGTGGGCTGCAGCGGGCACTCACTGGCTTCGATCACGGGGGCACCAGCAGCTCCTGTTGTACCCAGAGCTGTTCGTGCGTGCTGACTCAGTAAGGTGGATGGCACACTGTGCTTTATTGGAATAATTAACAATAATCAGTGGGCTGCAGAAGGATAGAAGGTGCACTTCCTGTCTGTAAGAGGTACAAGGCCCCAAGCCGACCACTTATCGATGTTAATCTGGGAAGACCTGGGGATCTTTATAGCTTGTGAGTCACTTTTAGTTTCTAAATTGAATCTTTTTCTTTTTGGTACGGGGGATCGAACTCGGGACCTTGTGCTTATGAAGCAGGTGGTGGCACCACTGAGCTACATCCCTGGTCCTAAATTGAATCTTTTTTTTCCTTTCTCTGCTGCGGAATGCATCACCGTTTCTGCTCAGAAGGTTTCAGGGGAAAAGCAAGTCAGTTCTGAAATACTTGAGCTCAGAGAATTCCCTACTTGAATAGCTACTGTGTTGTGATTTCCTACACCCTAACAATTATGCTTTTATTTTAAAGCATGAGCTTGATTAAGAATATGCTTCCTTTTCTTTTTCAATTTCTCTAATTGTACCACCAAGCCACAAAGACTAAGGGAAGAAAAAAACCTGAAGAAGAAAAGCCTTTGGTTATCATTGGTCACCGAATCATTAAGTACTAAAGCTGGTTTTGCTGGCTTAATACTTGAGTTCCAGTACTTTGGTGAGGCCCATGGGGCCCCTGGGTTGCTACATGTTTAGCAAGACTTTAAGGAGCATAGCACCTCCCCAGTTGTCCTGCACTTTTTAGATCCTCACTGGTCAGCAGGGATTTCTAGTGGTCTTCATGTGAGAGAGCTTTCTCTATAGTATGGGCCACACATTTAACTTTTGTTCAACACATGTCATTTTCATTTGTCTTGGAACAATTTAAGGCCAGTCATTTTGATAATTGCCTTTTTCTCCGGAGAAAGCTGTCTCAGTGTGTTTTGTGTTGCTGCAGCAAAATATCTGAGACTGGGTGTTTTGTACTGCAAAGAGGGTTTTTTAAAGCTCATAGTTTCATATCTGAGACTGGGTGTTTTGTACTGCAAAGAGGGTTTTTTTAAGCTCATAGTTTCGGAGGCTGAAAGCACAAGATCGGGCAGCCCCATCTGTTCATTCTCTAGTGAGGGCTTTCTGGTTGTCACACCATGCCGGGTTGTGTCCCATTGGTGGGAACTCGTGCAGAAGATGCGCTGCCAGTCTCCCCCGTTGCAACCCACTCTTGTGGGAGCTAAGGCAGCCCTGTGGGACCTGTATTCATCTCTCCTGAGGACGACTCATTCCCTTCCACTAGACTGTGCCCCTTAAAGCTTCCGACTTTCCTGTTCTCCGCTCTTGGTAGGGCTAACTCAGAGAAGAAGGCGGTTCCTGTTCTCAGAACTTGGTGTCGGATTAGAGCGAAAGGTTACATTGGCCTTCATTTCTAAGTTCAAGGCTGTACACAGATCCACTGGTAATAATCTCTGCACTGTCATCGTCACCGAGATCCCCCTTCTGCTCTGAGCCTTCCCCCTTCCCTCCAGGGAGGTTGTGTCATGTGTTCTATGGCTTTGAGATCTTTGGTGGTAGAGAGAAGAATCTTCCATGTAATGACCAAACAGTTTATTTCTGGAGGGATACAAACATGAAATTTTGTTCACTGTCACCGCTGGTTTTTTAAATCTACCAACCATCTAGACTCTGAAGGCTCAAATAAACACCACTTGAGGTTATTAAATCTTAGCTTTCCCATCATGTAGGGGTGTACTTTAAAAGCCAAACCAGACGCCAGACTTCATTTCAGATTTTTTTAGATGCTGTCCCATAAGCAAGTGAAGAGGACCCCAGTCCTGGGATTGTTTGCTTCGAGGCCCTGGGTGACATTTCAAGGTGGAGCCCACTGTAACTGTGGCCACTTTGCCTCGCAGGAGAAACTCATTGGGTGGATGACGACTGTGAAGAGATCAAGGCCCCCGAGTGTCCCGCGGGGTGAGTGAACTTGGGGGTCTTCTCAGAGAACGGGTGGGTAAGTGGTTAAAGGGACACAGAGCTGAAATCCTCTTCCACAGGCAGACTTGTGAGTACTCACAGCAACTCACCGCCCAAACACTGTCTAGAAACTTGGATTGTTTTTTCTTTTGGTTGGAGAAGAACCATCCCTGTCTTCCACTCAGCTGAAGGCGTTACAAAGTGGATCTGAATATCACTGGTGAAGGAAAAATTTCGGGCAGGAGCATTTTTTCTTCTGTTTAGTGTTTTCCCCTGGAGTTCTGCTTTTTTTGCCCTTTGGACGAGTGGGGGAGGGAAAGGACATGGGAGACACTGGAACTCAGCGCTGTCACCCAAGGGGGTGACACTGCCCAGTGCTGTGGAACATGAGGAAGGCTAGGCCTTGCGGGGGGACTGTGGACTGCAGGGACACCCCACAGCCTGGTGTGACAGCGCCAGGTGCTCGGGAAGCCTCCCAAGTACTGGCAGAAACTTCACGGACCTTCTGCCTGTGTGGCAGAAAATGTCTTTTCAGCAGACACATTTCCTAGTGCGTTTGGTCTTTTGAATACATTTTTGTTTTAGGTGATGCCGTCAGGGGCGCAGGATCTAGAGGCTTTTGTTTTCCTCCTTTTTAACCTTTGTGAGACATTTGAACTTCTGGGGCCAGTAAAATAGGGTGAGAACAGTTCCTGATTCTTACAAGGTGTGGTTTTTGAGGAAAAGTAGTGTGCAGAGTCCCGTGTTAAGTGATGCAGTGATGGTCACCTCTCCTGTAATATTGTTCAGTGCGCTTGACATGCGACTCATTTAGGAGGTGCTGTATTTATCATGTGCCTTTTAACAAACACAAAGTTCCACTTTCTTGTTAGCTTCAAACTCTTAGAAATTATTCTGCACATATTTTAGTATGCTCGAGTTTGACTGATCAACTGCACTTTTATGCTAGAATAAAGGGTCATTTAATTGGCTCCCACCTGCGTAAATGAATACTCTAATTCTTTATTGATATACTCTTTGGAGGTCCTCAAAATTCAAATTATTTTTCGAAGGGTTTTATAATTAAAATGAAAGGTACTTTAAAATAAGCGCTTAGGTTCACTGGCAGGAGTGCTACCGATTTTTCTTTCACTCATGTATTTGACAAGTAGTTACTGAAGACTTACTGTGGGGCCATAAAGTAGGGAGACAAATGCTTTCCAGATGGCTTTAAGACTCACAGGGAAGAAGAGAAGCCGGTTAGCAGGTCGTTACAATGTCACATACCTTGATATGGATGATGAAAGAGCTGTATGGATTAATCTCTCTTTTTTTTTTTGTACTGGGGATCGAACTCGGGACCTTGCACTTGCAAGGTAGGCGGCAGAACCACTGAACTAACTCCCTGGCCCCATGGATTAATGTCTTAAAGGAAGTTAGAAGTGTGAGCAGCTAACATTGTAAAAGAGGAAACTTCCAGCTGGGTTCTAAAGAATGAACGGGAGTTTTCCAGGTGGCCAATGGCAGATCTATATAACTTTTTCAAAGATGGTGCGTGTGATTTTTGTGAATAGAGCAAGCAGCAGCGGTGGGGGGTACATCCCGAGCAGTCTAGATTCAGGCCCTTCCCCCTTGACATTCGCCTGTGGGTCGAGGTCGCTGGGACCCTCCCGGACTCTGCCTGTTATGGAGGTGGCCATGCTGGAGGTGGTGGCGGCCGTGTCTGAGGTGCCTCGTGTCGTGTCGCCGTTCCAGGTTTGCCCGACCTCCCCTCATCATCTTCTCTGTGGACGGGTTCCGCGCATCCTACATGAAGAAGGGCAGCAAGGTGATGCCCAACATTGAGAAGCTGCGTGAGTCCCCTGCCCACACCCAGGGCCCCAGCGCCCCGCCTGGCTCCCGGCCTCCCGCCCCATGCTTCAAGTGCATTTTGCTGCTGGAAATACAAAGATGAAAGCAGCGCGTTGCTGTCGTCGCCGTGGGCGCCTGGTAGTAACAGCTGACGTTGTGTTTCCAGGGTCCTGCGGTACTCATTCCCCCTACATGAGGCCCGTGTACCCGACCAAGACCTTCCCCAACTTGTACACACTGGCTACTGTGAGTATTTTCCCAAATGACCTATATTCAAAGGTCTGATTTCATCCTGGGGTCACTTCGAGGGGAGGCTGGTGAGGGAGGGTCGAGATTGGAACTCACTGTGTAGCCCAGGCTGGCCTGGAACTCACAGTGATCCTCCTGCCTCAGCCTCCCCAGTGCCGGGGTTACAGCTGTGCATCACCAAGCCAGCCTCAGAGTGGAGAATTTAAAAACACATTCAAAGAAAATTTGCTTCCTACCTTTTCTACACCGGTTTTAGCTTTGTGGGTGCCTGAGCTTCACAACACCCATCTGTGTGAGCCCCTCAGCTACAGCTCTGTCTGGACACATGAAGCTCCTCTCAAGTATTTTCTATATTCACAAAACAAAGTCTATTTTAAAGTTGCTGTGTTTTAATTTTCAGATACTCCAAATGTACCTTATTTTCTCCTTTAAAACATAATGTACTTTTAATTTTTTGTTTTTTTTGGTACCGGGGATTGAACTCGGGTCCTTATGCTTGCAAGGTAGGCCACCCAACTGCTGAGCTAAATCCCCAGCCCCAATGTACTTTTAATTTTATGACACTATTTCTGTTGTTTGGGGAGAAGAACTAGAACTTGCAAAGAAGGAAAAAGAATATTTAGAAACCAAGGTTCTTTGGAGGCAGATGTGTAAATTTCACCCTTAAATAATGAAAGTGTTGTTTTTAGTGTTCCAACAGTTAAAAAGCCAAATATTTAGTTTCTCACAGTAATGTCAGTTTCCTCAAATGGCTTAACATCAGCTGTGTTTCACAGGCAGATGCATTGCAGAGGCTGCCTGCATCTTGTGTGATCTGTGGGAGTGGCTTTCCATGTTATAAACACTTCTGTGATACGAAAACTTACAGCAGAGCAAGTGTGTGCGGATTGTTGTATGGCTGTTTTAACACTGACGCTGCGCTCGTCCCAGGGGCTGTATCCAGAGTCGCACGGGATTGTGGGGAACTCCATGTACGACCCCGTGTTCGACGCTACCTTCCACCTCCGCGGGCGGGAGAAGTTTAACCATCGCTGGTGGGGTGGTCAGCCGGTGAGTCTCCGTGTGCTGTGAGTGTGGCGGACTTTTCACCCCAACCTGTTCCCCGAGGGAAGGCCCACAGGCCTCCCTCCTACTTGATAAAGTTTCCGTCTGTGATGTTTATATGCGGTATGCGTGTCACGTGTGTGTTCAGTGTTACATGTGTGTGCCGATCTATGCTGTGTGGGTGCGTCACGTATATGCACACCTGCACACGTGTGTGTGCACACGTGCACAGCCTTCTGCAGGTGTGCAGTGATTCATTTATCCCCAAGGGTGGCTGATAGTGGCCGAAACAGCGCCATGGTTGAAGGAGAAGATGGACCTTATCGATTTATCAGGTTCGGGAATACAATGAAACAGAAAAATGAGTGAAGCTGCCGTAATAAACAGAAGCAGGGAAACATGCTGGGAAAAGGAAACCCACTAAAACCCACCGTAGATTTATGAATTCTTTAGTTCTTTTATTTCATTCACTTTTTATGCCTTTTAATGGAGACAGGGTCTCACTGTGTAGTTCAGGCTGACCTTGTACTCAGAGCTGTCCTCCTGCCTCAGCCTCCCCAGTGCTGGCTTATTTCATCCTTGTCTTAAACCACAGAGGTTAAAGTATTAAGTGATGCTGAGAACTGAGCAAATCAACAGAGAGAGAGAGAGATCGCCCTGCGCACCTGTGAGCAGATGTCTGGGTTGGATCATAAGAAGGGCGGTCAATGGCTTTGGTCTGCTGGCCCCCTGTGACCGTGTGCGTGGCCTGGCAGCTTGCTCTGGTCGCACAGGGGCCGAGCAGCAGCTGTAGTTGTGGAATTGCACAACTGGAGCTCCAGGACCAGAGTGCTGCAGGGCCAGGCCCAGGGCACAGGCTGTCAGGGCTGCCGGGCCCTTGGAAAGGTGCACATGTCCTGTCCCCTGGAGGAGCACACCTGGCCGGCTGCTGGCTGTCAGGGGCACCGGCGGGGGCAGGGGAAGAGGCGGAGGCCTGGTGTCCGCTGAGGGCTGTGTGTGGCTCTGCTTTCCCCACGTGGACCCTCCAGGCCCGTGACCCTGACCCGGAAGTGCTCGCTGTGATTCACAGGAAGGTGAGCACACACAGGAGCTGTTTTCTAAGGCGGTGCTTTTGAGAGAAAAAGGTCATTTGTGATCAAGATATCATTTCATAGATATGCCGCTATGCAGGCATAAATGTGGGCTTCTCGATTTTTAAGCTATCCGTGTTGAAAGGCTTGCTGTATGTCTGCAGAAGTTTTGTTTTCCTGTAACAGACGTTTGGATATCCTAGTGTTTTGCTGTCATTACTCTGCCTGTTCTACCAGGGGTCTGTGGCGACCCTGGCTGTGATCACAAAGTGACGGTGTAGAGATAGTTTATGAGTAAGTAGAATCACTGAAACTGGAGCTCTGTCCAGTCGATACCAGCTGGTCTTTTGTCATCGCGGAAGCCAATTTCTGGGGAGCTCAGAGGACATAAAAATAGCCGTTGTGTCTAACTGTCTAAGCGTGAGGCTGACGTTGAGTTCACCCGGGTGAGTGTGACTCGGACACACGGCACCCCCTTGGCCCCCACAGACACAGAGGCAGGGGCTGCATCAGCTCCCTGTAGCTGCGGGCACCCATCTGCCCCGGCCCCCAGAGTGACATGTGTGACCATGGCCAGCCCCTCCTACAGCTGACCAGACTGGGGAAACTGACCTGTGTGTCTGTCTGTCGCCTTTCAAAAGATGGGCGCCATGAGAATACTTTGGTTCTGTAATTGTGCGGTCCATGTTTCCAGCACATGGTGACTGCAGTCACTTTAGGGGCTGCGTCTGGACATTACTTGTGTTCATTCTTTTTTCAGTCTCCTTCCCTCCTTCCCCCTCTACCCCTTCCTGCATCTTGTGATCCCTTTCCCTTTTGTAAAAGATCCACCTCCCTGTGGCCCACGATCTCTTTCATGTTGCCCTTTATTTATATTTTTATAAATATAAATATTTAAACGCTGATTTCCAGTGTTGCACCACTGGCATTGAAAAATTCTAAGGACCATTGTAGCTATAACTAAAAAACATATTTTATTGGATTTTATTGAAGAGCATTTGGAGAGCAACGCTGAGAGACCAGAGCCTAAGCGTGAGGCTGTAGGAAGCGCTAAGTTCTTTAAGAAAGTACAAACCTCTCCAGAGTCGTCGTCGTCGTCTTCTTCTTCTTCTTCTTCTTCTTCTTCTTCTTCTTCTTCTTCTTCTTCTTCTTCTTCTTCTTTCTTTTTTTTTTTGGTACCAGGGATCGAACTCAGATCCTTGAGCTTGTGAGGCAGGTGGGGAACCACTGAGCTAAATCACCGGCCCATCTCCAGAGTCTTCTTCTACCTTTCACAAAGTCACCAGTGGAAAAAAGTAATTGGACAAGAGAAGAGATTTGACCTTAGTCTGGTCTTTACATTAAAGTTAACTTATTTTTCCTGAAAAGAATCAAGCATGCAAGATGTTTGGCTCTCAGCAACACAGGAGAGGGATCACAGGAACTAAAGTCACTCCACAGTTTTGAGTGGAGGTAGGCCAACCTATGCAGTGTCTGTTTAAAAATTTAACCTCATCATTAGGCTTCCAAAAATAATTTCTGTAATTGAACTTTTTTTTTTTTTGGTTTTTTGAGACAGGGTCTCACTGTGTAGTTGAGACTGACTTGGAACGCACTCTGTAGCCCAGGCTGGTCTCGAATTCACAGTGATCCTCCTGCCTCAGCCTCCTGAGTGCTGGTATTACAGGCAGGCGCCACCATGCCCGGCTTGAGCTTCATCGTTTTTTAAAAAAATAAAGTTTACAATTCAGCTTTTAACTTTCCAGCCTGCAGAATGCATGATCGGAAGTCGCCATCGGCTGCGCAGCTGCAGTTCCTGCGCCTGGTTTCAGGGCGTGGTTCTCCGGCGGTGTTGCTGGGGGACCCTGAAACCTGCGCGGGGTCAGTCACGTGGAGAGTGGGTGGGAACCCCAGGGACGCGCAGACTCGGACACCCGAGGGCCAGGTCGCGGACCCCGCTGTCATCCCAGGCCTCTGAGATCTGAGTTTCTGGGCACCTGCAGCCCAAGGGGACATCTGTCTTCTCATCGCCGCCGCGGTGCTCGCCCTGCCCTGCTTCTGCCGCGCTGGGGGCGGTGAGGCCGTGGAGAGCCCAGCCACTGATTAAGCTTTCAGAGCAAACCGTGGGAAGCAAGTGTGGGTCCCTGCCCAGGTCTCTGTCTATGATCCCGGGAAGGGAAGCTTTGCTTTCTGTGCAGGAGCGTTCTCCCGTGCCTCTATCCTGTTGTTTCTCCTCCATGCTCTCCGCAGTAGCTCTGCGGTGCTTTCTCTTGGCATTGCGTCTTTTCTTCTGGTTTTTGTTGCTGGCTTTGAGCCCAGCGCCTCTGTGCGCTCAGCAGCTCCTCCACCCGAGCAGCTCCCCACCCCGTTTCCCCCGGTTTAGTCCACGCTGGCTTGGTGGCTTCCTCTCCTCCTGGCCTCCTAACTATCTTTCAGATCCTTGAGTTCTGTCCGCCTCAGCGACTGTCCTTCCTTCCGGGCTGTCTTATTTCCCACTTCCTGTGGACTCAGTTGTCTCCGTGCTCTGCCTGCTTTGGACTGCAGGGCCCAGGGCCGGGCCATTCGTCATATCCCGAGTGTGAATCCTGACGGGAGCTGCGTGCCTTGAGGTGCGCTGTGCTCCACCCCGCCCCGCTGTCCCTGCTCCGGAGTTGGCCTCTGCTTGCTCCGAGTTGGAATCGGCTCGGTGACACATCCCAGCCTGGTCCCCGCCTCCTCCTGGCTGGACCTCCCGGTCCACAGTCCACTTGCTCTGCCCCGGCCCTCACCTCTGCAGTTCCTTCCGATTTCAGGGACGGTCACCTCCGCCCTCTGCCTCTCGGAAGTCCAGTTATCCTAGCTCTGTGACAGGGAAGGCGAGAAAAACCTCCGTGGGCCGGTGCTGAAGATACTGCACTAATTGTGTTTGTGCGCGCGAGTGTGTGTTTTGTGGAGCTGGCACTGGAACTCAGCTTGGCCACTGAGCTCGTCCTCCAGTCCATGTTTTTAAAAAGTATTATTTTTCTTTTTCTCTTTTTCAAAAATTCCCTCCCACAGCTACACACTGTGCACCCTGGGCAGTGTCTGATGGCGGGGAATCTTTACTTGGTCCAAGAAGACATGGCAAGGCCGTGCCAGGCCCCTGTGTGCCCACAGTGAGTGCAGTGGGCAGACGGCGAAGCTCGGAACAGGGAGGGCCTCCAGATAGGAAAGGGCTGCAGAGGGGGTAGAGGCAGGACGCCAGGGTCCAGGGCTTCTTAGCTCATTATTTGCTTACTTTTAGCTGTGCTTTTTAAACAACCTCTGAGGAAATTTGTATTTACGTTCCAATTCAGAGCCTGTAACTCCCTCTTCTCTGCGTTACCAAGTAATCAGGAGGGCTCTCGCTCTGTCTGTCTGTCTGTGTCTGTGTCTCTGACTCTCTGTCTCTGTCTTTTTTTTTCCTGTAGTCCTGGGTATCGTATACACTTTTTGTTCTTCTGCACCAACATCTGTGTGCTTTCCCCTCGGTAATGCCAGCATTTAACTTCTGAGCCCTGAAGTACGTTGCGTACAGTGACTGCAAAGGGACTGTGTACCAGTTTGTGAGAGGGCAAGAGAACTCCCTCTGGGTCTCAGCCCTGTTGACCAACCTTGGACAGAGGAGGTTCACGGGTGCTAGGACTGCGGAGTCCGGGAGTTTTACAAATCCGCTTTCGCCAGTGCGCGCGTGCAGCGCAGACTGACCCCGGCCCTCCAGGAGCTGGTGCGTGCCCATGACGCTTCTCCTTCTTTTACACCGCCTTTCCCTCTTCTCCTTTCCCCTCGCTCTCTCTCTTGGTCCTGCCCCATCTGTCAGAGCTCTCTCTCTCCCTGTTTCTTATTATGCCCTTTGTTTTGCTCTTTAATTTGTTTATACTTTGGGTTTCTCATATGGGGGAAATCATGTGATACTGAAGCTTGTGTGTCTGATTTGTTTCACTTAACACGATGATCCCGAGGTGCATCTGTTTTCCCACGAGTGACTCGAACTTATCCTTCTTCGTGGCGTGGTAATACTCCATTGTGTATAAATGGAAACTTTAAACGTCCTTTTAATTTCAAGCATTCTCTGTCCACGTTTTGTTCTCTATTGACCACACTTCCAGTTTTTCTTTAGAAAATACAGTCAATGTGATAAAGAAGCAGGGAGAATTTTTCTGCTTCTCTTTTCAGTAGAAAGACACGACACCTTTGCTCTGTAAGTTGTCTTTATAATTCTCATCTTAGTTTTTCTCTGATTATAATTATGTCTCCGATGCCGCCACCTGGCGTCCAGGCTCGGTCTCTGAACCACCTCTGCTGAGCCCGCTCAGTGCCGCGTTTCCTCTCCTTCCTGGGCATGCTGGTCCCAGCCCCGAGGGCCATCAGGATGGTTGACACACTCCCTTTGTCAGCTGTGTGCATGCTTTGAACACTGCAAAGACCCCTGCCGTGGCCTTCCTGTCCCGAGGGATTCCGAGCTAGGAGTCGTTCCTACAGAGGACACCGACATCAGCCTGTTCCTACGATGTAGTTGTGAAAAGTGTGGGGTCTTTGTTTGACAGAGTTGTACTGAGAGATTGTTTTCCTTTACCAAAGCCCAGATTGATCTTATTTCGTAAATCATAAATAGTAGCTGCTCTAATATCCTTGGAAATAGCAAGGCACCAGATTTCCTGGGGAGCTGCGTAGGATGAGTGTGCACTAGGAGTGTGCACTCGACGCTGTAGTAGAAGAACCGGGCTTCTCTGGAATTGGCTGGGTTTTGAGGAAGCCGAGGGGCGGTGAGCACCGAACTCGAGCTCATCTTGCTGGTGGAGATGCTGGGGCAAGAAGGATGAATCTCCAGGACACAGTTCTTTTACACAGTTATTTTTGTGGATCCTTCTTACAGTACACGGTGACCGCATCCCCTTGGCGCCGTGGTGTGTGCGCATCACACATCTTCACTCTTTTCACACCCCCGCCCGCCCACTTCCCCTTCGCTCCATCTCTTGGTCTCTTCACTTTTGCGAAAGATCTGTCTTCCTGTTTCCTATCATCTGTCTTTGATTTTGCTCTTTAATTTATTTATACTTTGGGCTTCTCATCTGAGAGAAACTTGCAGTATCTAAGCTTGAGTCTGATTTTCTTCGGTTAACGTTACAGCCTCTGAGTGCATCTGTTTTCTCACATGGCTGAGTGTGTTCCGTAGGTCAGAGCAGTGCTCCACTGTCTAAGTACCCTGTACCACGTTTTCCCTTGCCATTTGTTTGCTGACGGACATATAGGCTGCTTCCAAGGGTTAGCTCTCGCGAGTTGCGCTGTATGGTGCCTTAAACTCCTTTGGGAAGGTTCCTAAAAGGGGACTAGCTGGGCCGAACGGAATTTCTAGTTTCAGGAACCTCCATGCTGGTTTCGCTGTGGTCCTGCTAGTTTCCATTCCTACCAGCGAGGGCATGTTTTGACTCCTGCTCGCGCCGTTCCAGCCCTCACCCGCGAAGTGGAAAGGTGCTCTGGATGGAGGTGAGGGCAGGACACTCGGAGAAACCTGCACTTCCTGTCTCCAAATCGTCCCAGAGAGCCTGGCCAGGCGGGAGGCGCAGGAACAGGGACGAGGACCCCGGCTCCTTGGGGATAGGGCTGTGAGCTGGTCAGAGCCCCAGGCTCCTCCAGGCCACTCTGCCCGTGTCCCACTTTGCCAGCTGGAGCAGCTGTGATTTTGGGGGTGAAGATTTCTAGATGTCCTGGGGGTCTGAGAATCCTCTGAAAGCTTTCCCTGCCGGCATCACATACCTTGTGAAACCATGGCCCTGCTCCTGGGTATCCTACCCATCCCGAGTGTGCACTTCCGCCAGAAATAAAGGTTTTCACTGGAGTCATAAGATACTCTCAGAGCCTGGGTGCAGTGAAGCCGGAAAAGGAGCCGGCTGCAAATCCTAGGTTTCCTTTGTTCTCCTAACAAACAATCTGACCTTCCCCCCTGTTTGCCTCCCTTCCTTTCCTTTATGTGAGAGGTTTCCTATCACAGACTTCTGTTCCAAGGGACCCTGGCCATCCTAATCTGTTTTTAATGTTCCTGGAAGAACTGGATCTCGTTTATTTCCATTGTTGCATAATAATGAAGATGGAAATTGATCGAGTGTTTGCCAAATGCCAAGGCACTGGTTTAAGGACTTTGAATGTGTGAGCTCGTTAAAGTGTGGAATGACTTTATGTGCTAGGAAATATTACCTACACTGCAATGGAATCGGAGGCAGAAAGAGGTTAAGTAACTTACTAAGTTGGTAAGTGACTGAAACAACCTTTGAGATCAAGGCTGCCTGGTTGTAGAACTTGGCTTTTGAATTTGTGTATCATTTGCCCTTCAACAGCCGGAAGTATAAAGAATATTTTAAAAGCCTTAATGAAATGCTTAGCTCACCTAACTTATCCTGAGAACTTTCCCCTAAAACCCCATTTACTAAAAGGCCAGATGAAAGATGTTGGAAAAAAAATCCCAGTTAAAAATTAGCCTTTCTTCATTGTCTTCTTCTTCTTTGTGTGGTTTTAAAGTCAGACGGGACCAGCTTTGTTCTCACGCCCTGGCATCTGGGTTGCAATAGTTGAAGAAACATCTGGTCCACTCCTGGTCCCTCCGGTGAATGGGATTCTGCCACAGGAGTGAAATGTTCAAAACAGTGGTCAGAAAAGATAGGTACAGAAGAGAGAGACTTTGGAGATGAAAGAACAGTTTTAAAAAGTGTCACGGGGATCCCAGCAGAGTTGTGAGAGCTTTTGCAGAGAGCGTATTGAATGACATTCATGGAAATAACCCTTCTGACTTCCAGATGTGAAGAAAGGGCTTGCAAATACTGTAACATTTATGGTGGGGTGTGAGCAGAGTATAAGGTATCAGAACTTATATATTTTTAAAGCTTCTTCTTCTTCGACCAAAACTCAGAATATGTTATAAGCCTCTTATATTTTCCTCATTAGCTATGGATTACAGCTGCCAAGCAAGGGGTGCGAGCTGGAACATTCTTTTGGTCTGTGTAAGTAACCTTTATTTCATCAATGCTTAAGAAGTTATGATTGTGAATGATTACACTTATGAGACATTAATTCAGTCTTGACTGCATTTCAGTTAGAGGTAAAAATGTCCAATTTCTGTGTATTTGCTGATTCGAAATTACTTTCCAGATGCTGGTGCTCCTGAGGCCCTTCTCTGCACGCCCACCTCCCTCTCCAACCCTCTCTTCCTCTCTGTCCTTTCCCCCCCTTCCTTTAAGAAAGGAAGATTTTCTGTTCTTCTAACCAACCTTCAGCTCTTTCTGTCCCTCTTTACAGCTTTTTGGTAACTCGCCTACTCCAGAATATATATGCTTGTTTATTTCTATGGCTTGCATTCTCACTTTCTGTAATGTGCTATTTTTCTTTTGGTTCACAATCTTAAAAATACAGTGTGGTCTCGGGCAGCTGGGTTGCTGGTGGAGTGGCCTAGATGTTGGAAGTTCCATTTTTTCACCCAACGCAGGCTTTCCCTAATAAGAAAGTGGGTCTACCTCTCACCCTGGTAGGGGGGTTAGCTAATGTTTAGGGAGATGAAACTTACCTAATAAAATTGTCAACACGTTGATTATTTTTAAGGCTTCTTAGTAGAGAAGGATCTGTTTCAACTTTCATGGGGATTTTGTTCCCACTCAGATGTTTTTTCCATCTTTTTTTTTTTCCTAAACCACCTAAAGCTGTTTCTGTATTTGCCTCTTATGATCTAACAAAAATCTGACTATTCTATAATAGTAGCTTGCTGAGAGCAGTCACAGGTTCCAATTAATCCAGAAAGGCGCTGTCTATGGTCTCCCAATTCGGGAAGAAAAGTCACCTTTTCAGCTCTGAAGGGCTAAATTGAAATTGGGTTGAGTGATTTGAAACGGAGACAGGGAGTCTCTTTAACTTTTTCCCCCTTCCTTTTACAAAGAAGTTTCTTGAGTCGAGAAATCCGTGTGGGTGTGTATGAAATGGCGCTGTTTAATGTCAGTGGCACGCGATTTACCAGTTTAATCTCTCGCATTACCTTTTTGTAAACCCTTGACAGTCAGAGATGCTTACAGAGGCGATGCTTCTTGCTCTGTAGCTCGTGTGCCGGGCAGGATGGAGAGAAGCCAACAACATAATTAACCCTTCGTCTCCACCCCGCCCCCGACACCGCTGCACAGCCGTCTTGAAAAGGGCCAGTGTTCTGCTTCTGAGTGACAATATTCTCCGCCCACGTGAAACCACTTGGAAGAAGGTGGCTTTTGTGAGCTCCGAAGAGCCCCGCAGTTTTGCTGTGCTTCTCAGACTATTCTTTTATTGCCGTGTCCTGGAAGCAACTTGCATTCAGTTTTTATTTCTCCCCTCCCTTTTTGGAAACTTCCTGTAATTTAAGAAATAGGATCATCCTGCCAGTCATCGGAGGGACTGTGTCAAGGGTGTCTACCCCATGTACCTTCAGGGACATCTTTATTTAAAACTGGATTCGGCCTCCGAGGTGGAAAGCCATCTTTTCACATGGTGCTCTGGGGCAGCCTAGTGCTCTGATCTTGATTATGTTTTCATGATAGCATTTCATCCCCCCTAGACCGAGGCCTGCTGTCTATGAGCTTGCTGACCTTTGGCAAGTGATTTAATCTCTCAACAAATCAGTCTTAAAATGAGAATTCCAGTACCTTCATCTTTGAGCGGTGTGAAGACAGAATAAGTTAGTACATTTGAAGTTCTCGTTAAGGTACTTGGTACTCATAGAACAACCAATGCTCTCACGACTCTGACTAGACGACGCTTCTCCCTCTGTGTCCCAAAGTGATTGGTTCCTCTCTCCACTGAGTCCCTCAGCCAGTTCTTCATTTTCATTTTTCTCCCCTTTTTCGGACCATGTCTGATGTATTTGGTCTTGTGAAATGACGGGGAAGACAGGGACAGTATCCCTTTTTCTTCTCCTTGGACCTTGGCTTCCCTTGGTCAAGTTTCTTTGTGCTGCCTTTGCATTGTATTTGAAACCTTAATTGTGGGTGAGATTATTTCCTACAGATGATTTAGGAAATTTAGAGACCACGTTGCTTATCACACCCTTGACCTAAGTCAAACCTAGGATGGCCTCAGACTTCCAGTCCTCACCAACATTCACTCCTAAAGTGTGCACACGCACACACACACACACACACACACACACACAAAACCTGTGCCCAGGGAATTGCAACCTATTTATCTTCCCTAAGAAGAGGAGAGTGACTCTTCTGTCATGGTCCTTTTGGTGGGAGAATCTTCTATCTTTATTTATGTCTACATATATGCCTTGAAAGTGGTATGCCTTTAACAAGTACAATAGTACCTTGACTCACGACTGCTTCTGTTCCTCAACAGTTTGGTTCATGAACAGAAATAGGAGGCAAAATTTTCTTCTGTTCCCGAGCTCTTCATGGGCTTCCCCAGAGTCGTGGCAGGAATGAAGTCCGTGAGCCGAGGCACCACTGTACTTCAGGAGGGAATGTGTCTTCTCTGTGGATCTACAAATCCAATATATAATAGTAAATCCAATATTTTTACGAACCTTTCTATGTGCCAGGCACTATTTTCAGAAAATTATTCCTTTTAATCCTCATACAATCTTATCAGTAGGTGCGGTTGGCATCATTTCCAGAGGCCCCACCAGCTTACCTAACTTGCCGGTGTCATCGCCGACCCTCCTGGAAGCCGGGATTCAGACCCATGCATTCTGGCCTCTGAGCTCGCTTTTCTCATTTCCTGACTATTACAGTTCAAGAATCCCATTGGCCAAGGGTGCTGAAGGGCGAACATTCTGAGCTTGACACAAGCTCTCTTAGGCTGCGTGTTTCCATTGGCATCAGAAGTAGGTTCATCAGAGTCCAAATTAGTGGCTTAACCCCAATCCCCAAAAATAAAGCAGCTTTTGGGTAGGTAGGGAAGCAGGATATAATGAAAAGGTTCATGACATTGGCTTTTTTTTTAAGTTAGGAAAAAATTCGAACTATGCAATTGTAATTATTTTGTTCTGTTACAAAGGATTTCTGAGGCTGCAGAATTAAATTCCTCAAGTGATTAACCTGGCTTTGCTATGCCTATTTCTAATTCAATTATAGGATATAATAAATGGAGTCACATTTATTCAATAGCATTGGGTTATGTTTAAATCAGGGCTTGTTTTTTGGTAAAAGTAAGCACGATTTTCTAGTTTTTGTGGTAACTCTGGAGATATAGAGGACACCAGGAGAGATGGGTAACCTGGTGGGTCAGTGATGATGAGGGACCAGGGAGCTCTTGGGACTGAGCCTCTGCCAGTGCCCACCATCCGCGTGGCCCCGGTGCTCCAGCTGTCTCCTCCTGTTTCCTGAAAGTGAAGATTTCAATGTCTCACCCAGCACCCCAAGGGGCTTCATGCTCACCACGATCAAGCTGGGGCTCAGCTTGAACTCACCATGAACGCGCATCTAATGCCTGGTCCTGAGTGGGTGAGCAGAGGAGCGTTTTGTGCTCCTGGTTAAGAACAAGTAAACAGATTCCCTACAAGTTAAGGTACCACTCAGCTGCCACCGCCCTGAGGTGGCCCAGCCCAGTGTGCGGTGCTGTTGTGTTAGCCGCGAGCTCCTGAAGCTCGAGCCAGGCTTAGGGTAATTATAATTCAACAGGAATGAGGTTTAAACACAAAGCCATTGTGGATGCAGATTGTATGATCTCGGTCAGTCTTGTAATTATATGTACCTCTTCTTGATAGACTTTTATAGAGTCAGAAGAGAATTTCAAGAATACCTTCCCTAACCCATTATTTTATAGAAGTGGAACTTAAAGTTTTGGGTTCTTTCTAAAGTCATATAGCTGTCGAGCAGCAAAGTGATAGCAAATTTGGATCACTAACAGACCAAGTACTTTTGTTAGGTGCTTCCTGTGTGCAGGGCTCTTGCTTAACATATTTCGTTTTACCTTATAAGCAGGTGGTGTGGGGCTTTGCCATTGTCTTCCTTTTCCTGATAAATGTACTGAGGCGGGGAGAGGTCACCAGGTAGAGAGGCCCGCAGAGGCCACACTACCCGTGAGAGGCAGATTGAGGGTGGTTAAGCACTGTTTCCCCTTCCGCCAGAACGGAGGGCTCGACTCAGTAAGCAACAGTGATGCTGTAGCCAGGATTCTTTCTGCAGGGAGCAGAGATTCTGATCAGTAAGACAGGTTCTTCATTTGGCCCTTGAATCAGAATTTCCAGGCTGGTCTTCCGTGGAAGGGGGTGAGCAAGGTGATGTGTGGCAAAAGGGAGTAGAAGTTTAAACGCTAAGCCAGGCCTTTTACTGGAGCGAAGTTCAGGCAGGTGGTGGGAAGTGCCATGCTTGGCCTGGGTGCAGGCTAATGAGGTGCTCTGTTGGTCTGTCCTGATTTTAGCGCCATCCCCCATGAGCGGAGGATACTGACCATCCTGCAGTGGCTCTCCCTGCCAGACAACGAGAGGTATGGGCCCCTATCTCTCACTTTTTTTTGGACTTTGTGGGTGAAACACTAAGGGGGCTGTGAAATGGAAGCCAAGGACTGGCACTAGTGAAGCTCTGTGACTGTGAGCTTTGAACGTGACATCCCTAAGGGGCATCGAGCTGCCGGGCACCAGGGCGCTATATGGATGGCCATGGCCATTTCCTGGCCGTGACAGAGAGTGGGGGCCTTTGTGGCTGTGATGAATGAGCCCTCGGCATCTCGGGGATGGGTGGCTATGACTGACTGTGCCCTGGGACAGATTGGTTCTTCCAGGCTGCACATGGGCTCTGTGATCAGGGGATAAAGACCTGAACATGCGCTCTCATTTTCCTTTGTGACTTTTGATCCTGCAGAGTGGTGCCAGCAGGTTACCGCAGTGGGGGTGGTCTCTAGGGTATGGAAGCAACAGGAGAAGAAAAGATTTCGTGGTTTTTTTTTTTTTTTTTAAAGTGTGTAGGGAGATTTGCTCTGCGTGCTGTGAGTTCTGAATCTTCTAATTTTCCCGCAGGCCATCAGTCTATGCCTTCTATTCTGAGCAGCCTGACTTATCTGGACACAAGTACGGACCCTTTGGCCCTGAGGTTAGTAGTTTATCATCTGCCTGAAAAGAACCTGCATCCTGGGCCACTTCATGCCCCGATCTGGCTTTAGGATTTGTGCAGTCTTTGGGTTTCTCTTACAGGAACCTGTATTTCAGATTGGTTTGATGTTGAAACGTATCCTAAACTTGGTGTTAAAGGGAAAGGGGGTGAGTTCCAGCCTTACAGGTTCCAATCAGGAGGAGGAGGAGGACTGGGAGGGGTTGGCAAAGCCATCACAGCAAAGAGTGGAAGGGAGTCTTGAGAGGAAACCTGGTACAGCACGTGACAACTGCCTTTCAGCACCCTTAGGGTGGGTGAGCCTGCGAAGAATCCCAGTAGCCTTTGTAGGTACAATCAGCGTCGTGTGTTGGAGTGCTGGGAACTTTTTTATTTGGTAGATTTTGATATTGGCATTTGTACCATGAAATCATCACCATATAAAAGAGCATGAACATATCCATCCGGCCCCAAAGGTGAAATGGATTCTTAGCTACTGAGTAAATCCAATTAGCAGACTTGTGTGACACCCTTTTATCCAACACTCAGCCATCTCAGTAGAAGACAGTTGGTTTGTAAGGCAGGATCTGGAATAGTTTCTGACTGAGGAGTTGGGAAAGGAATGGTTATACGTTGGTACCTCAGTTCATGAACTTGGTTTGTCGAACAGTTTTAGAAATGATGACCACATTTGTGTTTATGTGGGGAAGATGGCTGCGGCCATGGTTGTCACCCAGTGCAGAGTTTACAAACAAAAACAAAATTTTGTGAAATGCTTCTGTTCCCAAATTGTTTGCAAACAAAGCGTGTGTGAACCGAGGCACAACTGTATTGTACTATGTTCCTTTCTCATCTTGGATGGAAACCTCCCCAACGTCTCCACATAGATCATTTAAAAACATGGTGACACTTACATATCAAGGCCTTTTATATTGCCGATATTTTGCACCTTTTTAAATTGGGGTAATGAGTTGTACATTAACACAATAGCACTTAATGTCAGCTGAGAAGTTATTTTAAAAACTCTGTTGGTGGGAACTGCCTCCAGTTCTCCAACAACATATAATCCCACTGTTGCCTTCTGTTAACTTGTGTGTGTTCCACGTAAAAAATGAGTCAGAGATGCAGATAAATGCAGCTCGGTTGAAGTATTTTTGAACAAATTGCGGCATGTTTAAACAAAGAAAGGAAAGACCAAGATTCCATCAGCATTCCTGATACTGTAACGCCAACTCAGTGCTCAGTGGTTTCCTTTTAAACATTAGAAACTAATGGCTTTGTGAAACCATCTTTGTCTTAAATCACTGAAGTCATATAAATCTGTTGTTCTTTTTATCTCCCTTTGATGTTTAACCAGTGTTGCATGATTATGAAACACAAATGATAAAATGAGGTAAACATCTGCGTACATGACAGACAGACCTTCTTTTGCCAGGAAAGCAAAGCAAAGCAAGAATGATCGTTTTATCTTTAAGATGACTTTCTTTGAGACTAATCAAAAGTAAACAAAGGCAACCACTTTTTATTAAAATGTTAAACCTAAGCAGTTCCACGTGCTCTATGTAAAAGTTCAGCTTTGCCGGAAGGAGAAGCCCTTAGCGACCCCAAGGGTAGGCAAAGAGGGGTTGGGATAGGTACAGCTGTTCTTTTGAAAGCAGGAGGCTGGGTCTTGGAGAGGCTGGGCTGCCCGGGTTGCTGGCACGGTAAGTAGAATTTAGACGTAGAGTTGGGGCACCCCTGGCTCTCAGGGCCTGGTCCTTCCCATGGCCTCACAAGCCCCTCTTTCACTTCAGGGAACAGCAAAGTGACCCACTAGTAACTGCGCTCCCATCACATACAGCATTTTCTTTGTGGCCAAAGTCAGTTTTTAATGCTACAGATGAGGTATAACTCGTACCTTAAGTTATATGACTTAACAACGAATGTCCTTTATCCATGAATGTCTTTGAAGTTTACTTGTTAAAAGCATATGTGTATGTGTTTTAATTAAGAAGCAAGTTTTGTTTTGGCTCCAAAAGTCCTGAGGAATGAATAAAAGAAGTGTGGTACAGAATGCTTCCTTTGCCGTAACGATGGTTTCTGTGTCCAGGGTCACTCATAAATACACAAGCATTTTCGTCCTATAGTACTTTTGAATTAAGGGTAGTCGCTGTTCGAGTTCTAGTCATTCTTTTTAGTGCTAACGTTTCTTGCAACTGGGACTTGCTTATAGGCCTACTGGGTAAATTCTCTAGCGTGTCTCACTAATGGTACTTTCTGATAATCTGACCACTTCTTCCTCATAAAGGAAGGAATATTTTGAGATTTTAACAATTTTTCATTTGGTTCTAGGCATCTTATTTAACCAAACCAAAAACAAAATACACTTTATACTTTTAAAACACGAACCCACGGTGAGTCAACGAAAGCTCCCTGTGTGACAGGCCCATTGATTTCCATACTCCTACAATAGCATCACATATACACGTATGTGCATGTGTGTATCTCTGTGTTCCATCACGTGATGTTTTTGTGAGTGAAAAGATCACGAATAGTAGGTGATATGCTATTTTAAAAAATCAGTAACATGTTGTCTCTTACATACAAGGCCTTGAAATTTAATTGAAATGATTCTACTAGCAAAACACTCTGCAGTAGGATGAGTTCATCTGAAGTTTGTGCTTTATTTGCTTAATGTTTGAGTACATTGTTTTCCAGGATGATTCTCAAAAAAGCTCTTAAATGAGATGACCAAACATTGAGCCGATAGCTTCGAGAAATGGTGTGTTGCTCCTGGTTTCATAGTGTAATGGTGAATGTTCAAAAATATGCTTGCTTTTCATCACTGGCGCAGTCTTTCCCCTTTGACTCTCTGTGCTTTCTCTGTGACCTTTTGTTCAGCTGCTCTTCATGGCCGACAGGCAGAGCTTTGGCTGGCTGGTCCCTACCTTCAGAGGGCGGAAAACCCTTCTGAAAAGTAGGTGGATGTGTCCCCTCCCTACCGTCCCCTTAACCTCAGGCTAAAACTTCTCAATTCAGGCTACGGTATGGCTGGTCAGTGAAAACTTAGCTTTCATCTACTGCTAACATTTGAAGAAGGAAACAAATGCGCTGTAATTATTGGATGAAAACTCAGTTTGGCTAAAGCCTGTGTCTCCCTGCTCATCTAACCTGCTGCCCTCTGAAGGCCCACCTGGAAAGTCCTGGGAACGTTGGAGTCTCTTGCAAATGGCCTAGTGTTTGACGGGCAGATCCGACACTAGCAGACTGTATTTGGTGACATGAAATGGAAAAACCCTCCTTTCCTTTTCTTGCTCTTCTCGTGGAGACCTGCCTAAAACTAGCAGCCTTCACACCGACCCAAACCTTCCCGTGGGGCTGTGTTGTTGGTTGGGTCGCTGCGCTGGACAGGACGAAGCAGAGACAGCAGCGCCCACCCCTGCAGTTGCTTGCCCTGGAAGTAGCGAAACCGCATGGCAGACGTGCTCCTTCTTGGGTTCACTAACCTCGTCCCTCCTCCTGCCCCTTCTCGCATCAGAATGGCTCTGGGGACTGACCCGCCCAGAGAGAGGCTAGCAAGGTAGATGCAGGGCTTGCTGCTTCAATGCACCGTTGCACCATCGGCAAATCAGGGGCCAGATTTCCTCCAACATCGGCAGGTTGCAGAGGGTCCCCTTCTTGTATTAGTTGGCGCACCAGACTCCACTGCCCACTGGGTTTTCAGACAGAACAGAGAGCACTGTCATTACAGGGGCTTCGGAGAGCAAGTTACAGAGGCCTTCTGCATCCGTACGCAAAGACGCAGAGGTCTGACTTGTCACATTTTACCTAGTTCTCAAAGACTGCTTTAAAAAGTGCAGTACCATTTGTGGTAGAGCTCCTCTGTCCTGTAAATTCCAGTTTGTCAGTGGAGAAAAAAAAAAGCCTTGTTCTGTGGAGAGTCTCGATTTGTGAATGCACCTGTGGGACCAAGGAGGATTGCTTATTATTTATATTGCATTCCATTTTTGGTTTTAACATTTGCCCTGGTCCTTGCCAAGGAAGGAGGCAGTGCTCTATTTGTTGATTGGGTGGTGTGAACAGATAGTCACAGATTCTCCACCGGAACCACCTACATCAGCCTCATTCCATCCAGAGCTGATGGAGTGACCATATTCTGCTCGGTTGTAAGCTAGTATTTCACCTGTGGAGAGCTTTTCATAACCAAGACAGCCTCTCCCTAACACAGGCACTACGGAGTACACAGCTTCTCTAGCGTCACCCTGGGGACTCCTCAACAAAAGAAGCCCGCACAAGGAGGTCCCCTTACATTACATCCTTGTTCTCAGCACGGAGCTGCAGCGGCAGCGTCCGTAACCCTGTGGGAGGCTCTTTCTCCGAGGTCCCAACTCACCCCTCTGCTGCTGTGTTCTCACTCGTGGAGACCTAGTGTTACAGCTAAGACTCTGGGGCTGCAGACGGGAAAGTGAGCTTTCTCATCTGCCCCAGAGGGGCAGATGGCTTCTGAGAGGAGACATCTCTATCCGCCAGTACAGGAGAGTAGTTATGGCTCACCTCTTACTCCGGCTAAGAGACCTAAGAGGAAAGTTGCCCCTAAGAGGAGACAGGAAAGACCAGTTCCTCCTCCAAAGAAAAGAAGAAGAAAATTACATAGGATGGATCATTATACGGCGGAAACTCGTCAGGACAAAGTAAGTTCATCTGTCGTTCCAAAGCTTTGTGGCGGGCAGGTCTGAGTTGGAAGTTTCCTTTGGTGCCTTGGTTTGAAAATCGGCTGTTTATGTTTTAGAAAAGCTCTGCTGTGTGTCATTCTTGGCTTTGGGGCCAGAAGAATCTGGCACTTTAGAGGTTAACGGTGATGTGAAGACTTTCTGAACTTTCAGCATGAGAGCAAAAAGAACCCTTTTATTTTCTGTGGAATTATTTGCCCTCATATTAGTATGAACATCTGGGCTGGAGTGACTGTTAAGAGGGCTGTGGGTTTTGCTTGCACTTAATGTACAGATTTAGACACAGTGGTTTCTGGCCCTGGTTCTTGAGCATAACCTTAAAGGTAGCAAGGGTAGTGCTCAGAAACACGCAGATTAGAACTCAGTGGAAAGTTGACTTAGATTAGTGGTCCAAACTATCAGAGATCAGAAAAGGCATTAGAATAAAGATAGAGGAATAGCTGGGATGGAGTGAAGTGTAAACAGTGGACAGATAGAGTTGTGTTTTCTTCAGTGACACTGATGATCACTCTTTCTAGTACACTCCCTAGAGCCTGTGGCTGTTACTTGTCCTGAAAACTTCAGCAACTGCTGAACCAGGGTCCTATTTATGATCAGCTGAGCTGGTTGCTGAGAAGTAGGCTATAGATTTTACCTGAATTGTCCTGCTAAGCAAAGGAAAATAAGTCATTGCCAAGACTTGACATATGTTTTGCATTTGGTATTTCTTTATCTAGACAATGATATTGGAGGAGAGGATGGTTTTTTTAGAAGCAACTGCCACATAGTCCTACATCTGTTAGTCCCTGCAGATTACACTGCACATCTCAATTCAAAGCTTTCTGTGGTGACTTATTCCTCGGGATAGGATTAGAAATACTGACCCCACAGCTGATAGTACTGATGAAATAATGAGAAATCATATCTTTAATCTATCTGGGAAGATTCTGAGGGAAGATAATATGTACCCAAGCAAAAATGATATTTAAGTCTCTTCTGGTCTTTGTCTTCATGGGCCTGGCTGTGTGACTGTTAGCTGCGCAGTACAATTCCTCTAAAGTGTTGTCAAGTGTTCAGACCATGTAAAGTTTCCATTGCAATTAGAGATGAGATGAGAAAGATAGTCTGTGGTGTGTATGTGGAAACATGTCGTTAGAAACTTCCACTTGAGTGGTAATGACAGGTGGGTTTTTAGACTCTGGAAATGGCCTTCAAAAAAAAAAAAACAAAACAAAACAAGAACAGCAGCTGAGTTTTACTATTTCATTAAACTCAGAAGCCTTCTAGAAAAAACTCAGTGGTTCATTTTTGTATAAGTTAGGGCCCTATATGTTCTTATTTCACACAGAGTCGGCTTGAAAAGAACCAATTTTAGGAGCAGAAGTTTGTTTCTTAGAATAGTTTTTTTTCTCTGTTCCTGATGTACTGCTTTCAGAAGTTGACAGTTAAGTTCTCTGTTACACAGGATGGATCCCTGTGTATTAATGATATTCTGATTTACTATCCAGCGGAAGGCTATGCTCATAACTTCAGAGTTCCTTTTGATTCACTTATCCACCATCTTCTTACCATGGTTCAAAGCCTAATGTGATTTTCCATGGAACGTAAAGGACGTAAACTATCCACCTGACTTTCTGTTCATTCTTGAAATGCTTGGATTTACAGAATGTCATTACATTTTAGAAAACCCATTTTACCTCCAAAAAAGAATTTAGCTCAGTCATATTTTCTATATGCATGTGTCAAAGAATCATGACAGGAATTGGATGAGGAGCAGTTCTTATTCTCCTGAAAGAGTGTAAAGTGATCAGACCACATTTCCTTTAAAATGGCAGGAAATTCCCCTAGACAAAGCTCTGCCTCTGGGCCTGAAGTTTTCTTTCCAGAATGTTCTAAGGGTAGAAGATCTGTGGAAACTTAAAAGTCAAGAGACGAACAAACCAACAAACAAAGCCTATGAGATCTCACTCACTCTTTTTTCCAGATGACAAACCCGCTGAGGGATATTGACAGAACCATGGGGCAGCTCATGGATGGGCTGAAGCAACTGAAGCTTCATCGGTGCGTGAACGTCATCTTCGTGGGAGACCATGGTAAAGCTCGGTTTCTTTTTTTGCTAGTAAATGGATAAGTAGGTTTTCTGTGGGTGTTGAGGAAAGGAATCCTTGCCTGTAGAATCCAAGGTTCTATTCTTCACCTTTTTTTTTCCTTTTTGCAGGATAGGAAAGACATTAGGTCCTCCTGGAAAAGTCTGAGCCTGAGGTGGCCTAGGTTTATTTTAGTCACAAGTAGGGACTTCTGTATCTTCCTTTTCTTTGTAGGAAAGGTCTTTCTCTAAGGCTGTATCTCTTATTAAAATGTTGTGGATATTTCTCTGGTGATATTAGTCATTCCATCTGTGAATGTGACGTATCAGATGATAAGCTCTCATCCCTGTGAACCACATCCTCAAAGGGCCCCACAGAGTTTTGTGTGGTTAAAAAAACTCTAAATATGTTAAGGACCGCAGAGACAAAGAAGGTGTATATAAAATCAATGTTTTCCTTGAATTCACTGAGGGAATTCAAGATGGAGACTAGGGGACCTTTTTGCTATCCAGAAGACTATTAAAGATAGGAAGAAGCAGTTTTTCTAAATCACCTCATAAAGTAGGAAGATTCATGACCACTTCCTTTTGAGGTGACCAAGAACATCATAAACGTGGTATGTTTGTAGAGCTAAGGGGGGGCCTCATAGAGCATTCTGGAATGATCACATGGAAATAAGGATCTTGGAATTTGGGACTACTCCCTTCTAGAAGAGTTTGGAAGCTGAAAACTGGTTGATTTTTTTGGGCAGTTCCATTTACAATGGCTGGTGAATTTCCTTAATCATAGCTCTTTCTGTTCTGAGCTGACATTTTCTTTCCAGAACTTTCTAGAACATCTCTGAGAAACTAGGGGGAAAACTGTGAGGACCAACTTGCTCCCCTGGGGAGCTCACTCCTACCCTTCACATGGTCATGCTCCGTGAGTTTGGCTTAGTGGAGAGCAACAAATAGGGCCAAGAATTTGGAGGTTGACACAGTTGATAAAGTTGAGGTTGCTCAGAAATCCTGAGAACGTTGTTCATCCTTGGAGTAATTTATGTGATTGCCTTAGAAGGTAACAAGTGAGGATCCTTCCAACCTTCTCTTCATAGGTATTTGGAGACTCTCTTCCTGGACTAATCTGGTACTAGAACACAGTAACTATTTATTGTTTTAATTTTTATCCCCAAGAGTCTCAATATTAAAGGATAAGGTAAATAATCCTTGTGCTACGTTGGAATATGTTTTTCTCTCCACTCCAATTTGTGTTAAACAAGGACAACAAGAACAAAAACCACCACCACCATCACTGCCACCAAGGATGGCGTGGAGGATATAGATGTGGGATTCTAGGAAGCAATCATTTGAACTTTTCTAGATCTGGGCCACTCTGGGTTATATATCTTTAGTGCAAAACCTTAGCAGAGTACCCACTTTTCCCTCTTAGAGAGTATTTGTACACTGGACTGTGCAAAGCAACCCAGTAGTCTGCCCTTACCCAAGGGAAATGTCTTCCAAGACCACCAGTAGATGTGAATAGCACAAAACCCTGTCTGTACCGTCCTTCTTCCTACACAGACATGCCAATCATCAAGTATAACATATAAATTAGGCAAATTTAATATAAATTAGGAAAATTTCTGGAAATTTTCATTGGTGTTTCTGGACAGCTGGTGGACCACAGGTAACCAGATCGTGGGCAGTAAAACTGGATTCTTAGGGGATTAAATAGAGTACCTTAAACCTTTCTTCCATGTCATCTTCTAAATCCCTCCGATGACGATAAAGGTCTCTATTAGCCGCTCTAGTCTGTAATTCTAACATGTGAATTTTTGTTTTTATTCTTTTAAAAAATATCGAGTAAGAAGTTTTTCTTGATGGAGAACAGAAAACAAACTTTGGGGTTGGGAAGGAACATTGGTTGGTCAAAACAATTCCCTACCTCAATCCATTCTGTGCTATAGTTGCTAGCTTTCAGTTGTGGCTAATTACACTGTTTACAACTTGTTTTCATTCAGCATTATTTTGTTTTTCAGTTTGGGTGGTCATTGGAGCTGACATCTTGCTTTCTCATCTCTCATTGGCAGTATTGTTTTGTCAGGGATATTCCAGGCCACCAGAGGAGACAGGAGAGCTGCTGATTATGTACTCAAGATGGAGGGAGAGAGAGCGCTGAAAAATGATATTTTGTAAAAGAGGCTGAACTGTGTATTTCAGTTATTTATACCATTATTAGCTGAAAGAATTTAAAGCAGTCCAGGACTTTCTTTTAAAGACTAGATCTTTTTCATGGGGAATGTAAATTGTTTGCTTAAAAACACAGTTACTTCCTTTGTCTTGCTGTTCTTGCTCAGTAGCTTAAAATGAAAATCAAGAGGATGCATTTTTTTAACTTTCCAGGCCCAAATCAGAGGCCAGTGGAAGGTTCTGGAAAGAAGTATTAAAAAATTTCAAGTCCAGTTAAGAAATCTCAAGTGTGAGGGTTTTACCCTTTAGTTGTGAACACTAAATAGATGCCTGGATGTCATTATGGGTATCTGTATGAAGGTTTTAATTTTAATGATGTATGAAAAGACTAATTTTTTCCCCCTCTCCACAGGAATGGAAGATGTCACCTGTGAAAGAACTGAGTTTCTGAGCAATTACCTGACCAATGTGGATGATATTACCTTAGTGCCCGGAACTTTGGGAAGAATCCGGTCCAGATTTAGCAATAATGCTAAATGTGAGTTGATTCTTAAAGTACTGAGTAGTTAGAATGAAAATTCAGTGGAATAGGTGGAATTGGAGTTCTTGGGGAAAAAAAAATCTTCGCTTCCCCATGTTCACAGAGGCAGAGCTCGTAACAAAAGAGCTCAGTCTTGGAAGAGCCTGTGTGTCTGCCAGCAGATGAATGGGTAAAGAAAATGTATTTACACAAAACGGAGTATTCCTCCGCCGTCGAGACAGGCGGTGCACTTGGAGGGAATGGATGCCCCGGGAGACCATGATGCTACGTGAAATAAATCAGATGCACAAGCTTAAATATTGCAGGTTTCTCTTATGTGAGAAACCCATGTTACAAGTAAATTAAAGAGCACAATCACAACCACATAGTAGAAAACAGGGAGACTGAGCTTTTGCAGAGGGAAGGGGACCAAGAGATGGAGTGAGGGAGAGGGCATGGAAGAGGAGGGAAGGCGTGTTCCGCGCTTGCACAGGCTCCCCGCAATGCGTGTGACCTTCATGCTGTGCGGATGTAGAACATTAAAGCAAAGTCTCACCTCTGGTGCCGCTTAACCAGGCGATCTGAAGCCAGTGGTTTGAGGCCGGAGCCTCAGTCTTGTCATCTGAGGGATGGGGATAACAGGAAATTAATCTATGTGTGAGCAGCTGCTGGCGCACAGTAGTGTTGTACAAATATTTGCTCTTGTTTTTATCGTGTGGAAATTACAGCTCAATATGAGGTGTGTTTATAACTGCAAACTTGGGTTTACAAGAGAGGAGTTTTTTTGTTTTAACATCAAGGCCAGGCTGGCCCCTTAGCTGGACCTCGGAAACCTAAAACAGGGTCCAACAGAACCGTTTAGTACCTGATGGTTCCCGGGAGCTTTGCAGAAGGGATTTCCTCTTTGTCCAAATGACAGGCAGAACTAGGGATGGGAAAATAGTAAGGGGACTGCTGGATGCGCGGAAAGATCGGAGATAAACAGGAATCATCTCGCCGCTTGTGTTGTGTGTTCAGGTTGTGCTGTGCCACTGACATGAAATGATTTGTGGGCCAAGATTTTTAAAAGATGCCTTGAGGAGTCCATAGTTTTATTTGCGATACTACATTTTGGGCAAAAAACCAATCTTTTAAAAGTTTTTAGCCTTGGAAATAAGAAAGCATTGACACCAAGCTTAAAGATTTTGGAAAGTTAAGTTTTTCCCAAATTACATTCCTGTGTCAGCACCAGTGGGAAGTGGTCCAAGGCTGGCTGCGGCAACGCTGTGAAGTAAACAGACCAGTGCTGTTTCTCTCCGCGCGTCCCTGTCCCTCCCTGTCCCCTGCGGCTTCCGTCTCTGCTCCCTTGAGAGAGGCGGCCGTCACCATAGGCTGGGTCCGAGTCCTTAGGGCACCTTTGGATTTTAGTATTTGCCTTTTAGGGCTTACGCAAGAGAGTCTGCCTATTTTGAGAGGTATTTCTGACACCCTTAAATGTGACAGGGAGGTTGTTTGGGGCAAGAGAGACTGGGAGCCTATGAAATAACAGCTACCAATAATGCAGTGTTCGGTGCCTACAAAATCCTTCCGTGCGTGATTTCCTCCTCCTCTCTTTCCCTTCCTACTCCACCTCCCGCTTCCCTTCCCTCTCCTTCTCCCTCCTCCCATCCTCTTTTCCTTCTTCCTCTTTCTCCTCTCTTCCTTTGCTTCCTTCCTCCCCTAACTCTCCCTCTGCCTTCCTCCTCCTCTTGCTGGTGCTGGGGATAGAGCTCAGAGCCTCGCTCTTGGCTGGGCAAATGCTTTACCACCGAGATACCCCCCAGCCCCGTGTGCGATTTCATTTTGGGGCACACAGTACAGGTAGGGTGGTGAAGGCAGCAGCCAGATGTCCAGGATCCGACCCCAGCTCTGCCAGGGGTGCCGGGTGAAACTGCTTCACGCTTATGCTTCCTCCTCCTTATCTGTAAAGTAGGGATGGGGAGACGCAAGGAGAGATTCCATCTGTCACCTAGGCTCCCGGTCAGCACGCAGTCAGGGCTGTGGACACGTCAGCCATGACAGCTGTGTCTGCATCGCATCACTGTTTCGGGTGAACACAGGCACAGTCTTATTTAACATGCTGAGTGGTCCCATGGGATGAGCATTCGTGTCCTTCTATAGATGACAGTGGTCAGATGTCAGAGTGGGGTGCAGGAGCTGGCTCAGAGGGTGACGATTTGTAAGTGGAGGAGCTGGGCTTTGAAGCCAGATCAGCCAATTCTTAGTCCCTGCCCTTGAGGACATTGAGCGTGAAAAGGTGGGGACCTTAACACTGGGGTCCTAAACACTGATGCAGCCACTGGTTGTTTCCAGTGTTTCTCTGGGGTCCCGCTGAGCACAGGATAGCTCCGTGCTGGTTTATTTCCTCCCTAAGAGCACGATGGACTCTGTTGAGTTCCTTTGAGGACGGCGGTCCATGAGGCCGAGTCGTGTGCGGGTTCAGAGCCCGTTTGCACAGTCCACCCTGTCCCTCCCGTTCATGGCTCCCACCTTCTAAAGCCCCTTGACTCAGTGAGCCTTGGACGAGACAAAGCGTCTCCAAAGCTGGACCATAATTTTCCTGCTATCAGTTACTTTCAGGGGCCAGCCATGACAGGAATGACCCCACTGAAGCAGCGTGGGGTTTGCCCCCTGGCTCTGGTTTTCATAGCTGTAGAACTGAGAGTCTGAAAGGAGGCTTTTGGTATAGCTGTTTATGCCACAGGGCAGTGTGCATGTTCAGCACACCGGAACAGATACTTATTAATATATCCTAGCAAACGTTTCTGAAAGCCTGCTGTGTGGCAAGCCCTGCGCAATGCAGCATAAATGACAGAGATAGGGCCTGTTTCAGAAGGTTCTGTTTTAGGAGGTTCTGTTCTGTAAAGTTCTGTTCTGGAAGGTTCTGTCACAGACGGCTGATCTTGATAGCAGGGCTCTCTTCTGAGCACAGCTGATTCTGTAATGATAGACTGAACCAAATTTTTGAAAACAAAACAAAATCCGAACAACCTACAATCTCCTCTTTCTCCCCATAATCCCCCCAAAAGGAGACCTATAGATAATAGATCCTGTCTTTACACAGCCATCATTTACATAGTTAGGTCAGAGTATTGACTAAAATAATCTTTGTTTGCTGGTAGTGAGACCGAGGGAGATGCATGTGTGCACTGAGGGCCGGAGGGGAGCAGTCTCCTCTGTAATTAGACCTGTGAGATTACCAGGAAAGCATACTCCCTTGGAAAACATAACTCGGTGGATTAGAATATTCATCTTTTCACATTTAAATATATTTAGAATTTTTTTTATTTCTATGAGTCCACGTCTGCAGTACAGACTGACCACACTTCTCATGGGGAGCTGCTGCACGGACCTCACACATCTTCACTCTTTTCACTTTCTCTTCTCTTCCTTTCTGCTATCTCCCTCCTCCCTCCATCTCTCGGTCCCCTTCCCATTTGCAAAAGATCTCTCTCCCTGTTTCCCATTATCTGTCTTTTATTTTGCTCTTTATTTATACTTTGAGCGTCTCATGTAAGACAAACCATGTGATATTTAAGTTGTGGGTCCAGTCTATTTCTCTTAGCATTATGGTCTCTGAGTGCATCCATTTTCCTACAAGTGACTCAAGTTTATCCTTCTTTACGGCAGAGCAGTGCTCCACTGCGTGTCAACAGCACACAGATGATTCATCTTAAAGTGGATGCTTACCTGTTTAAGACGTGCAGATAAATAGGAAGGTATATAGTAAAAACCCCCAAATGCCTAGCTTAGTTTCTGACATTGAATTGCAAATAAATGAAGTTCATGTTTCAGAACCACTTAGGGAACGTGAAGCAGTTTACGTAGCATTATCCTGGCAAACTTCCCCGCTAGGTCCAGTTCTCCTCCCCTGTAGAGGAACGAGGAACGCCACTTTCCATAGCTCCAGGACATTAACATGACAGTGGGGGGTCTCACACTGCGAGATGACTTCTCCCCGTGAAGGTGATCCCGTTTTCTGAGATACCTCTCCTCCTCTCTCCACAGATGACCCGAAAGTCATCATGGCTAACCTCACGGTGAGTGTGCCCAGTCCCTGGGAGCCTTCTCCATCCTCTCTGAAGCTCTCTGACCCCCTGTGAGCCTCTAGGTTTCCAGCATGGATTATCTCAGCATGCTCTCCTGTTCCCTAATCCCCTTTTGTTTGGCTGAAAAATACTTTCAACTTCCAAGGGAGAGAAGGCCTAGGACTTGCAGAAGACATTCTGTCAGCAGACCAACTCCTGTTTGTATTGTAGTGCAAGAGGCCAGACCAGCACTTCAAGCCTTACCTGAAGCAGCACCTCCCCAAACGCCTGCACTACGCCAACAACAGGAGGATTGAGGACATACACTTGCTGGTGGAGCGCAGGTGGCACGTGGCCAGGTAACTGGGGGACCGCTGTCCCTGGTCCCCATCCTCGCCGCGCTTTGGCACCTGGAAATATGTTACGTTCCATGGTCATAAATAGAGAAATCTCAGGCAGAAACCTCTTGTTTCCAGAGATTTTCTGTTCTGGATGAATAACTGCCAAGACCCCCGTTTGTGTGTTCCCAGGGTCCATCTGGCAGACTCTGTGGTCTGCCGGTGCATCCGCGTGTGCATTTTAGTTTTTGAGTTAACACGCTAACTTTTAGCGCACTAGCTTTGACTTTGATGACTTGACCAAGTCAGAAGTGTAGCCGGGAGCTTCCCTAGTGTATGGGCTGATGGGGTCTTACTCGATGGGACTTTCTCTGTAGCAGCGTTTGTAGAGGACTTCAAGGAACGTTAACGTTCAAGGAACGTTAAATGTAAGACCTCTACTATTGCAGACATATTTCACATTGCTTTCAGTGTTTGCAGTGTTTGCCCTCTTTTGAACCACAAAGTCTCTCCTACTTTAAATACAATATTCTTTGATTTTTGAAGAGCGTGTATGATGGGTCTGGAGGCTTCAGACAGAATTAAATAGTTCATCAGTAAATGTCCGCTCATTTTTACACAGACCTGGACACTGCCCTTTCCTACTTGTTCTTACTCCAATTTCCTTCTCCTTCTCCTTTTTCTTTCTTTCTTTTTTGATACTGGGGATCAAACTCAGGACCTTGGGCTTGCAAGGCAGCCGCAGTGCCACTGAGCTAAATCCCTGGCCCTCCAATTTTCTTCTTAAGAAAGAGTTGTGAATCTCACACTGATGGAGGAACCATGACACACACCCTAGCCAGGTTCTCCAAGGAGTGTACAAGGGAGAGAAAACATTGGTCCTCCAGGAATGGGTACCAGCATGGACCCCTCAGGAAGACACAGGTGACGAACACAGACACACTCTCCACCATTGTAAAGGGGGCAGATAGAGTTATGCACGTGGGATTATGAGAGACCCACGAAGACTGGAAGTGACTGACGCCACATAGAACAGATGAGAGGGATTCTCACAGAGGTGTCGCACAGATGTGGCCACAGTGTCCTGCTGACTGTGTCCTCTGAGGGACCCTTTATGTGCGGGGCATCTTGGGAGAGAGCAGACTTGAGGTGGATGGTGAGTTGATGCCAAGACAACATGGAGTTGAGCAGAAAGTCACAGAAAAACGGTGATGATGTAGACCAAAGCTGAGCGTTTTCCTTGGCAGCAGAGCTTTTGAACTCATTGAATTGTTATTTGTGTGTTTATTCTCACCCCACGCCCTAGGAATGCTGTGCATTTGTTTGATGTCTGTTTCGCCCAGCACTTTAGTGCCCTGCACCTGTAGGAACTGAGGCAGTATTTACGTTAACACAAACTTTTTGGGGGAAAGGGCCACAGGACCCTCCTGAAAAAGTGGCCTTCTTGTCATAGAGGGAAAGTCAAATGAGCAGTGATTCCATTTTCTATTTCTGAATAGAATATTCGGTAAGGCCAGGGCTTTGTGGCAATCAGAATTCAGCCAGTCGCTGAAAAGATGAGACATTCATCATGACCAGTTAGGCTTCATGCCATGGAATCAAAGAGCATTCAACATGTGCAGATCAGTAACTGTGATTCCTCAGATGAACAGAATTAAGGACAGACAGCGCATGATCATTTCAATTCATTAGAGAAAGCCTTTGACAAAATCCCACATCCACTCATAAGAGAATCCCTGAAGAAGATAGAGGACCTTATCTTGGTCTGATAAAGGCATATACAGCAAAGCTACTGCCAGCATCATATTAAATGGGGAAGAAATGGAGCCCGCTAAAATCAAGAGCAAGTCAAGGATGACTGCTTTCACCGCTCCTGTCACTATTAGTGGTCCCGCAGCTGGGTTGTACTCATAGGTGAACTTGTACACAGACACTTTGGCAGCACACAGATCTGTGCTGCTTGACTGCTTGCTGCACCTTGGTCCTGAGCCGGGGTGGGGGATATGGAGGTGCAGCAGGTAAGCACAGCCTACTGAGATCTCCCTGTCTCACAGTGAGGGACGCACACAGGCAGGCCGAGCATTGCCTGGCACAAGTGTTCTGCCCCATGTGGTTCTGGGAGATGCCCATTCATCCTGGGGTGACTATCAACATGAAGGAGACGAACCACCTTTCACAAACCCCTTCGTAGAGACCCCTGCACCCTGAAACTGGCTCTTAGTGGGAGTGATTTGGGGGGAAGAAATCCTGACTGATCATAATTGTTTCAAGCAGGAAATCTTTGAATGTTTATAGGAAATCTACTGGAAAATGTTTTTTCCAGGGGGACCACGGATTTGATAACAAGGTCAACAGCATGCAGGTATGACCGCGGGACTGGGAACGGGCATTGCGTTTCGGTGATTCTCAGAAGGGGAGAATGGGGAAGCTGTGTGGTCTTCGTGTGGGGCGGGAGGGTTGGTCCTTAACATCGGGAATGGTTAATTGTCTTTGTGTTTTATTTTCTTTTGGAAGACTGTTTTCGTAGGTTATGGCCCAACATTTAAATACAAGACTAAAGTGCCTCCATTTGAAAACATTGAGCTTTACAATGTCATGTGTGGTAAGTCACATATTTGAATCAAAACCAGCAAACTAATCTTCAGTGAATGTACTGACTTCTTCAATGTCAGGAAAGAAGGGAGGCGTCTATTTCCCAGACCATCTCCTCTCCCCACAGAAAAATATTGTAGCTTGCCCCTTGGTTCAAAGGACAGAATGCCACCGTCTTCTGAGGGTTCTTTGTCTCTGGCCACAGGGGCCTACCCGGGAGTTTGCACGGTGTTGCTGCTGGCAGCCTCTGGCCGATCCAAACAGCCTTACAGTCCGACACCGCTGGTCTGAGACCCGGTGAAGCAAGCGCTCCACACACAGCCCTCTCCACCCCGCCGCGTTGCAGCCCAGTTAAAACCTCGCCAGCTTGCTCCCTGGCCAGCTATTTCTGTGCTTCTAATTATTTTTCTTCCTTGAGCTTCCAGTCACTGAATGAGGGCAGCTTTTCCTGTTTAGCGAGGGAGTGCCGGTCTGGTGGTGGGGAGCCTCTGAGTCGGGCCCCTGGGTTCTCTGCTGTCTGGCTGCTGGCTCTCCCCGGCCCCGACTGGGCTTGGGCGAGGCCCTGCGTGCCCGTCTGGCACCGATCCCTCCCTGTGAAATCAGCCTGGTGCTGCCGTGAGAGCACTCGAAAGCCTCCTCTTGTCCCCAGGCTTCTGAGGACGGGGTGGGAGGGCCGGCGGTGGCGGTTCCTTGGTGATAGGGTCTCATTTCAGAATTTGGGCTAAAAAGTCCCGGAGAAGTGCAGCCTTCATCCTGGAACTGGCGGTGCCCGAGCAGGCCCCACTCCCCTGCTCTTTGTTTTGGGAAATTTCTGTCCCTCTTCGTGGTCAACGATGAGTGAGGGCTCACAGAGGGTGGGCTGACCCTTGGGAGGGCAAAGATTCTGACCCTTCCTGTGGCTCGTCACAAACACCTACGAAGCTCACGGCTCGTCCTCTGTGCTTCAGATCTCCTGGGACTGAAGCCGGCTCCCAACAACGGGACCCACGGGAGCTTGAACCACGTCCTGCGCAGCAGCACCTTCCGGCCGGCCATGCCCGAGGAGGTCACCAGGCCCAGCTACCCGGGGTTCGTGCACCTCCAGGCTGACTTCGACCTGGGCTGCACCTGTGACGATAAGGTAGCGCCAGAGGAAGCAGTGGTCTCTGTCCGTCCCGGAGGAGCTCGAAGGGTGGAGACCAGTGCTGTCCACACAGCTGCTGGTGACGCTGGCAGTGATTTCTGCCGCCGCCACCGTCCAGAGTGGCCTCACTGGCTGGCGTAACTGAAAAGAAGGAAAATTTCAGTCTTGTTATTTCAGGTTGGGGTTTGAAGCGTCGCGTTGGACAGCGCAGGGAGAGGAGAGAGGGTGCAAGGCTGTCCTGTGCCTCCCAGTCTGCCTCCCAAGGCTGTCGCTTGTGTCCCAACACGGATCGCATGCCTGTCAGTGCTGGTCCTCAGGGAAGCGGGCGGCTGTGCCCAGGAGGCTCTCACGGGCACTTTTCAAAGGATTGTTGCAGGCCTATTTGACGAGGGACCTGCGTACAGAGGCCGGGCGAGGAACTGCGACGCGCTCTGGGGCTAACAGGGCCCCGACTGACTCCGGAAAGTAGAGGAGAGGGAGCGAGAGGAGGGAGCGAGAGGAGGGAGCCGCTGTTCTTGGTAGAGGACTGCAGCCAGTCCGGGCGTCCTGGCAGAGAAGGGGTGGGGTCAACACTCTGCTCGCCCCTCTGCTCCCCTGCAGGGGTCGCCCGTGGGTGGAGCCCAATGGGAAGCCCCAGGACACAGCAGGGCCGGCAAAGTGCGTGGGCAGCCCCCTCACGTCGCAGTACCGTGGCCGTGCAGGTTTTGGATCCCAAATTCAACTCGCTCACCGAATACCGGGCAGACCCTCATCGCTGCCAGTCGGTGCTGCTAGTAGCAGGAATTAACCAGGGCTACCACACTGAGTTGAAGGACACCAGCCCAAAGCAAGGAGTCTGATGTCTTTGTATATGTAGTTTATTATTTTAGGCAGAGGTGTGATTTTTCTATTATGCCTCTGAGAAATGGGAAACAATTCTCTTACCGCCCAGGTTCCTTCCCTCCCCTCTGCACCCTGCAGGATTCCTGGGAGTTCAGGGCCTCAGGGCGGCTCACTGCTGGAGGAATTCAGTTTGCCTTCTTGTCATTTTTATCTCTTTTCTGCTTCCGTTCCTCCTAAGAGCCATGCAGGCAAATAATTACAGGCAGGTGAGGCTCAGGTGGTGTTGTTGAGTCCCCGGTCAGCAGGAAGAGCCTCTCTGGAAGTGGTTTCCGGAACTGCACAGGAATACACCTGTTGCAGCTTGTTTTCTGAATTACCTTTCTCTGGAAAAGGAGCAGTTTTTCAAACATCTTGTCTTAGAGAAATTATGGATTGTTTTTATTTTTTCTGTGGGTTTCTCCAAAAGGTTTTATTTCCTAAAAAAACAAAAACAAACAAACAAAATACACCTTTCAGACATACAGAAGAAGACTGCTAAAATGCGTACACCTCAGTGCACATCCTGTAAGAAAGAAAAAGCATCCCAGACTCAGTGGCTCCAAGTTCCTCCTTCCTTGTCTTCTTTCTATTAGAGCTAACTCGGATCCAAAATACTGTGTGTGTAACTCATCTGCATGTCTCTGTACCACTTTTCCTCGCTCTGTATGTATCTCCTAAATGTAATATGAAGTAACTTTTTGTATGGTTCCTAAAATAACCTGTGATATAGTTGTGCACATTATACATTTTATGTGAGTGCATTAGGCTACAGGACTCCTGCAGTTTTCTTATTCATCACATGCTTTTCAGATAGATTCATGCATATCATGAAATATTAGCACACTCATTCTTACCACTAACAGTTATATTTAATTGTATAAGTATACCATGCTGATTTTCTTCAATTTCCTGCTTGAGAACACTGGTAATTTCCAGATGTTGGCTCTTAACAAACAGTGCTGCCACGGGCATTATTATAAAGGCTTTTCCACACACACGTGCCCGAGTGAGTGTCCCTGGGATCTATAACGATGGGTGGGCTATTATTTATTACTATATATAGTGCTGGGCCATTATTTTTCATACTTGCCGAGGTATTACTTTTCTAGGTGTAGAAAAACAAATTTATACATTAGTTTGGAAATTGTTTAGCATACCTAGGGATTAACCTGAAATACTGAGGCACTGTTATATACATACATATATATAT